TTTTGTTTTTTTTTTTTTTTACATCCTTCACAGGCAGGGGTATCTGCAGGCGGGGGTTCCCCCCAGGGCCACCTTCCGGGGACCACGCGTGCCCAGGTGCTCTCTCCCCTTCTTCAGTTGGACCTTTGTCCTTCCTGCTCCCAAGAGGGCTCCAACCCTCCCCAGAGCCAGGAGGCAGGGCAGTCAGGTGGTGGGAAAAGGGCTTGTGTCCCCCATCTTAGAGGGGCCCAGGCCTCTTGTGTCTGAGGGAGACGGGCACCTTGGGAATCCCAGTCGTACAGGGGATCACCAGGGGCTGAGGGCTTGACCAACCCCACATCTCCCCAATCCCTGAGGGGGAGATAGGTGAGGAGGGCCAGGGTCCCTGCATCCCCTGCTCTGGGAAGACTCCCTGCTTAGAGCCCAGATGTGACATGTCACTCCTTGAGCTCCAAGCTCAACAGAGGGGTCTGCCCCAGGGCCCCCTTCCCAAAGCCATACACCTCCCAAAGCCCCAGAGGCACCATCACACCTACAGGAACCTTCCTTTTATCCCTCCCTGTCCTGGGGGGGCAAGCTTTCACTAGGGATCAAAGTGCTCCTCCACCCTGAAGAGCTAGTATTTTTGTTAGTTTTCCTAAGGAGGAGCCATGGCTTCGGATACGGATGCTGGGTCTCACAAAATATGCCTTCCTGGGCGCAAGGCTAGTCAGGGACAAGCAAAGCCTCTCACCTCTGCCCTGGGCCTAGTATTGTTGTCCCCCAGTTTCAAAGCTGAGAGGGTCCCTCGTGGTCAGAAAGCCCAGGTCTGCACAGAGCCAACAGCTCAGGGCCCCAAGAGCCTCTGAGCACCCCTGTGGTTGGTTGTGAGGGGACAGAGCCCTAGGTCCTCTGAAGTTTAAGTGTGCCCTGAGGATGCCTGAACCACTTCATAAGCCCCAAGCTGGGTTTGGCTGCAGGGATGGGACTGCCTGCGGCTGTAGAAAGCCACGGGCAGTGAGGCAAAGGAGCTGGGACTTCATCTCAGCCCTGTACTAACTCATCATGTGGCCTCAGGCAGCTCTCTCTGGGCCTGGGCTTATATTCCCCAGAGCTGAGGGCCTGGAGCAGGTTACTGGTATGCCCTAGACTGGCCCTGACCTTTCAGGGAGTAGGCTACCTCTAGCCCTTGGTTAACAGTGATACCCTGGCCTCTGGTGGCTCCTCCATGAATAAGTTCTGCCCAATGCCCCACGGCCTAGGAGGCACCTGGCATCTCTTGGGCAATTGAAGGTTCCTGCAGTGGAGGTAAACAGATGCCCCCTGTGGTTCTGAGGGTCATGGGCCCCTTGGGTAGTACAGCTGAGCTCCACACGCGTTGTCAACCACAGCAGAAGAGTGGGAGGAGCAGCCGGGACCCTGAGCCATAGCCTGGGCACCAAGACAGAACCAGAAGGTCAAAGAAAAGACACACGAGGAAGTGAAGGACCAGAGTGAGAGGAAGGAGGCAGGGAAAAGAGGAAGGAAGGAGAACAAAGGGAAGGAGAGGCTGGATGGGGAAAGGGGCAGGGGGCAGGGTGAAGGTGGAAGGGTGCCAGGCCCTGGAGTCAGGTCCCAGGGGCTCTCTCCAAGCCAGCAGTCTTCACCAATGAAGGGTCCAAAAAAGAAAAAAGGGGGCTAGAAGAGCAGACCAGTCTCCTGTTGGGGAACAGTCCCAAGGAAGGCTAGAGGAGCAGACCAGCCTCCTATTGGGGAACAGTCCCAAGGAAGGAGCTTGACTTTCCCCTCCCAAAGAGGGGGTATGCCGGGAGTGGGGAAGGGGGGTCCATCTGTCCAGAGAAGAGGTGACAGTTCCAGCCTACCCTGCAGTGACTCCCCTCAGAAACCCCCTCCAGTGGGCTGTGAGGAGGGCCAATTCACCTTGAAGATGGGTACCCCGGGGAGCCAGTCCCCTCCCAAAGGACAGCAGAGACAGAGGGGGCTAGAGAAGGCGGCCCTTCCAAGCACACTCCCCCAAGTGCAGTTCATGGTATGATAACAAGTAACCCATTAGCAGTGGCTAGCACCTGAGGGTGAAATGGATGGACGTGCCAATGCTGGACATAGAGATCGGGTAATGGTATGGACTTGTGACGGGAGAGGGCAAGAGCAGCCCACGTGGAAAGGAGTGTAGGGGAAAAACAAGGCTCCCTGGCTCAGTCCCCCTAGGCCCCAGGGGCTGGAGACAGTGGGCTGCAGAAGCTCACAGCCACAGGTCCTCCAAGGAGGCACTGTGTTCCTTGTGTAGCCCTTGCTCAGGCTCCCCGCCTACAGAAGGATCTGGAAATCTCCTGCCCAGCCCCTGGTACAAAGGCAGTGGCCCCAGGGACTAAAGGGCTGTGGGATGTTGTGTATTTCTGCTGACTCACAATGTGAACAAGAGTTAGACTGCTGACTCAGGAAAGCGAAACTAACGGGAATTTAGAAACAAGGGGAAGTTTGAGAAGGGCAGGAAGAGACTGTGGACCAGAATGCCCATCTCAGAAGTGGGTGGCACATGCTTTTAAATGAGGTGGAGGCCTCCCAAGGGTGGGGAATGCACATGGGTGAGAGCTGGAAAATGTGACTCCCGGCAGTTCAGACTATGCCCCTCATGGGGATGCCATGGGCATACCTGTCAGGGTGGATAAGCCAGGCTGGCACTGTCCTCAAAGGCCAGACCCAGCGTAGACAACAAGGACCCAGGCCACACCACAGCAGGGCAAAGAATCCAGGGGACATGACCGCTCCTAGGGACAGAGACCAGCTGCCCTGCTCAGGACTGTGGCTAGCTCAGGGAACATGACAGGTATCTGCAGATGGTAGGGGTGAGGCTGCTGGGGGAGGCACTTCCCGGGTCCCCTGGTTACTCTGTCTGGAAGGAGGCAACAGGGCCTTTTGGGCCCTCTCTTATGCAACAAATTCCGTATCTCCATCTCCAGGGGCCATCACGGAAGCCTTCTTCCCAATCATCCTATTAGGGAGTCCCCAGCACCCCTACTCCTTCATCAGGCCCAGAGCTGAGTCTCCTTCCATAAGTGCTACTAAGCTATACAGCTGCCTCCCTAATGTCTGGCCTCCTTCCTTACAGGCCGGGACCACAAAGCCAAAGACCAAACCTCCTTAAGTCCCCCAACGGCTAGTCTAGCCCAGAGCTGGGGCCTTAGTGCTGCTACCTGCCTGGAGCCCTGTAGAGCCTGGGTGGTATCCAGGGTAGAGATCAGAGTGGGAGTTGTGAGGTGGGGACTGGGTGATGCTGTGGAGAGGCAAGCCCCCTGCACCTGGCTCCAACTTGGGTCCCTATCCCATTGCCACACTAGAGAAGGCTGATGAGTTCCTCACTGTGCGGCCTGTATCTGTGTAATGTCCCCACACTTCATCACCCCATGTGCACCCAGATAGTGGGCAGGATGGGGATTCTGCGTGCGTGCGTGCATGCCTGCGTGTTCCTGCTAGAGACAAGGTCTCACTATGTACCCCTGGATGGACTAGAACTCTCTATGTAGACCAGGCTGGCCTCAAACTCACAAAGATCCTGCTGCCTCTACCTTCCAAGTGCCGGGATTAAAGGTATGTGCCACCACATCTGGGCTCCTTGTTTTTGAGGCAGGGTCTCTCACTAGGACCTGGAGGATACCCATTAGAGGCTAAACTAGCTAGCCAGAAAGCCCCAGGGATCTTCCTGTCTCTACCTCCACAGCTGGGATAAGAGTACACAGTGGAAATCAAACTCTGGTCCTCAGGCTTGCAAAGCAAGCATTTTACCAAGGGAGCTAATTCCCCAGCCCCTGGATGAAGATTCCTATTCCCATTTTACAGATAGAAAAACAGGCTCAGAGGGGAGAAGTGACTTACCGGGTAATAAAAGATGCCAGGGCTAGACCCTGGGTCTTCTGATCCCAAGCCCAGAGCTCTTCCCATCTTAGCCCCAGGCTGGGCAGCTGGACAAACATCATTTGTGTCTCTAGCGCAACATAGTGACCACACACCTCTGTGCCCTCACATAAGGTACCTGCCCTCAAGAGTTTGGTCACAGCTTTGTCATAAACTAGACTAGAGATAAAAACCTCAGCACATACATCTCTGTAGATGGGGTCACAACCACCACACTGTTGGTTGTCATCAGTCTGGGACACCCAGACTAGATCTTCATGGAGGGCTGCTTCGTTCTCTGATTTCTGAGAGTTTATTAGTCACAGACAGAAAGGCAGACTTGTGGGAAGGTTAGATCCCGAAGGTGATAGGTTCCAAGGGCCCCCTAAGGGCCACAGATGCACTCTCTTATCTAAAGAAACTCAAGCTTTTTCCCAGGAGACCTAGAACAAGCTAAGAAAATCCAGAAACATCTGTCTTCCCTAAAGACCAAAAACCCTGGACCTCCCTGTTCTGTCCCATCTAACAGAACCAAGCCTTTAGCCATGTGTGAACACTCACATACTTGCCCAAAAGGAAGGGATCTTGCACTGTGTACCCAGTCCCAGCAGTCTGAGAACAGGGCCATGTGTGGGGCCCTGGGTGAGACCTTCCTTCTGGGACAGCATCAAGGGTATTGGAAGGGGGCAGTGCAGAACTGAACAACTTTGATCAAAAAGTGTCATGTTCCCTGACAGAGCTGCCACCTGCCACCCCTTCTATAGGCTGTGATTGTGGTCAGGTCACAGCTGCAGGGACTCCCTCAAACCAACTCGAGGCCTTGACCATCCACATAGCTCCCCATCTCCAGCCCCACCTCTCAGCAAATCCTTGACCTAAGAGTACAAAGGCCAGATGAATAAAGAGAAGGTATAAACATCTCAACAAGGCAATGGACCCCAAAAGGTCATGGTTGTCCCAGAAATGCCCTGGAGATCAAGGTTAGGATGACAGTCCAGATACACGTTTAAAAACTTCAGGCCCTGTATTCTCTCCAGTTGAGGATTCTTGTCTGTTTAGGGGAGCCCTTCTTCCCTAGGCCCAGAACTCACAGGGCTCTGCTTGACTCTGGAGGCTTGAAGGCTTCTACATGGCAGGTCTTAGGTATGGCAGCTCAAAGTGTGCAATGGACAGTTATGACCCAGCCTGAACAGCATAGGACTCCTTGGTTCAGGACACCCTGTGCTGCAGCCTGGATCACAGCTAGTCTTTAAAAGATGCCCCATAAATACCAGCTGAATGAGGAACCCTTCTTTCTCTTTCTCATATGACCACAAAAGCTGAGGTCCATAAGGAGAACTCAACAGTCCCCTCTGCATCCCTGGAGACCTGCTCTCACCCATGGGCTCCAGCAGAGACAGTGAGCAGTCTGATGGTGAGGACCAGCTACCTGACAGCCCCTACCCAAAGCTCTCTACTTTAAGGCCCATGACCTGGGTTTGACACAGGTGCCTCCCTTAGCCAGCACTACCTTTGTTATGTTGGTCAAGTCAACACATGAGTTTTATAATCTTTAAGAGAGTAAGTCACGCCTGCTTGGTGATCTAGTGTCTTCCAGGAGTAGCTGTGGGATTCAGCCAGGAACACACGGTTCTAGACAGAGGTGAGGTGACATGTTCATGTGTCCAGCACACAGGCACCTGCACACAGCATCCAGAAGACAACTCTCAATCTCAGCAGAAATGGCTGCACGCAGGGCCCAGCTGTTTGTGGTCCCTACAATCTGCCACTGAGCTGAGCCTGGGTTTGTACTCAGCAGGTGTCAGGAAGAGCATCCTGAATGAACGAAAGCAGATATGCCAAGAACCAAGTAGTGATGAGCTGTGCCATCCTGTGTGTGTGTGTGTGTGTGTGTGTGTGTGTGTGTGTAGGACAGATGCCATCAACACTCCACAGGAGTGCCTTGGGAGGATAGTTATCACACCCAGACACATTCAGGCAGGTGTGTGGCCACGTTCGGGTCTCCAGTCCACAGTGTCATCAGCCATGGAGCACTGCCCTAGGCTGTTCATCCTCCACAGGAACACAGCCCTTAGGGGTCCAGATTCAAAATGTTTACCCATTTCTAAACTGCTGAGGGTGCTTCTGGCTGGCACCACCACCAGCTTCTCCAGACAGAGGGTTGGGGGTGGGGGGTAGGTCAGAGGCAGGCCAGGGAGAGGCCAGGAGGCCTGAGACGGGGTGGTTACCGAGGTTGACTGTGAGCTTCATCTGCCCTCCGTCCAGCTCCAGGCGCAGGGTGTCGGCTGACTCCCTGGAGGTGGTGGCCATCATGAGTCCATAGGCCCTCTGGGACATAAAGCGCAGGGACACATCCTCGGCCTCCGTGTGCATGGCATTGGGCAACATGATCTTCATGTACATGGAGCCATCATAGCTCAGGACCGTGGCCTCTGCCGGGAGGGAAAGAGGAAGAGGGAACAGGGGAACAGAAAAAAGGAAAGGAAGGGGAAAGGAGACCAAAGAATCATTACCAGGTGGAACACCTGGGGCTGGTCTAAGGGGCCCGGTAAGGAATAGTGGGGTCACCCCAGAACACAGAAATGGGGAGAGCAGGGACACCTGGGAGTGAAAACTAGCCTCACCTCTCTCACAGACCCGCCCCAGAAAGCCGGTCCCGATGCAGTCACAGACGAAGCGGTTCCAGCCCTCTCTACAGATGCCCCCGTTCCGACAGGGGGCCGATGCACACTGCTTCAGCGTCTCCCGGGAGCAGAATGGGGCAACGCCCACAGCCCCCTGAGCCTCAGCCAGGCCCCGAAGGTCTCGACTGCGTCCATCTATGAAGAGGTCTCGTACACAGCCCACGTAGCCAGCCCGGAGCGCTGCTGTCCATACCTCCGGGGGAAGTGGCAGGTCCACCCGACCCCCCTCAGGGAGGCCACCCAGGTACAGCTCACTCTCCAGGTCCAGGATCTCACTCTCCCCTGTGGCCAAGAACGGAGTGCTGCGGCTATTCACGGAGATGGAGCCTGGGGACCAAGGAAGAGTGGGCCTCAGTGGAAAGAGAAGCCACAGGCTGGAAAGGGACGTCCTGACTCCCATTGAGGCCCCCAGTGCCAGCTTGGGGCCCACCAGTCTGCACCCTGCAGTGGGCTCAAGATGATGGACAACCATAATGGATCTGAGGCCCAGGCTTACCCACCCTCTGCCCAAACTGTTTAACTATGGTCCGGAGGTTCAGGAGCTTGAGACTCAGCTCAAAGGCAGTGTGCTGCAGGCCTCTGTCCAGACCCTTCCCAGGCACCTTAGAGAGAACTTGAGAATATGTAGGAGAGGTACACACCCCAAACCCATAGCTATAAAAGGGCAGGATCATTCTCTGGGCCACTCCCACCCCAAAGGCCCTTGGACCAGGAGCTGGAGGCAGAGAACTTTGAAAAGGATGAAAGATTTGAATCTAAACCTCCCACCCACAACAAGCATCTCTTTGATGGCATGCCCAGGCAGCTAGTGCTTCAAGCACATCCCTGAAGTCTGAGTCGCTGGAGGAAACTGGTCCTTTACCATCCCATTTTGAACTCCCAGACAAGGTTCACAGAAACTGAGAAGCCAGCCCAAGTGCCACGACAGGGAGCAGCAGGGCCCAAGTCCTATTCAAGTAGCAAGATCCCAGCACCTAGCTAGGTATGATGGTGTATGCCTTTGATCCTAGCTCATGGGAGGCAGAGGTGGGAGGATCTCTGTGAGTTCAAGGCCAGCCTAGCCTGGTCTACATAGTGAGTTCCAGACCAGCCAGAGCTACATAATGAGACTGTCTTAAGAAAAAAAAATCCCAGAGTCTACTTTCTCCACCCCTCAGCTTGACTAACTGGCCTGGCCTGGAGCCAGCTCTATGGCCAAAGAATGAGATGGACAGGTAGGTCAGCTCCTGGGGCCTGTGACACAGGCTGGCAGCCAGAAGGGGCCTCTTCTAAGGTAGAAGAATTATTTTTGTCTTGTTTTGTCTGTTTGTCTTGGGGGGGCAGATTTATTTTTGCTTTTGTTGTCTTGGTTTGGTTTTGTTTGGTTGATGGTTAATTGGTTTGAGGTAGAGTCTCGCATTATAGATCAGTCTGGGCTAGGACTCACTGTGTAGCCCAGGTTAACCTTAAACTCTTGGAGAACTTCCTGCCTCAGGCTTCTGAGTGCTAGGGTTACAGGTGTGGGCCACTTTGCCTGGCTGGAAGAGTTCTTTGGGAGGAGACAGTGACAGTAAGGGTTAACTGAATTTGTCTCCTTCAAAACTCAGGTTGAAATTTGGCTGTCATTGTGATAGTGATGGGACAAGGGGTCTTTAACAGGTAGTAAGATTAGGTCATCCACCACACCATTCCTGCAGGGGTGGGCTCAAGACAGAGCAGGGTAGTAAAGGATGAGCCTTGGTATTTGTCTCCTTTTGTACGAGAGTTCACCCATCAGTTATGTTATGACCCAGTACAAAAGTCTCCCCAGGATCTAACACCATGCCTTTGGGCTTCTCAGCCTCCAGAGGAGGATCTTTCCTTTTAAAGATGCCTAGTCTCAGGTGTTTTGTTATATCAACAGAAAACAGACCAAGATAGGTGAACATCTTAGAAAAAGATCTGGGATCTGGAGGGAACTTCAAAGCCTTTACTGTCATCTTACCCTGCAGAAAGCTCTCTCTCTCTCTCTGTCTCTCTCTCTCTCTCTCTCTCTGTCTCTCTGTTTCTCTCTCTCTCTCCCTCCCTCCCTCCCTCCCTCCCTCCAAATTTTTGAGATAGCCTTAGCTGGCCTGAAACTTGCTCTGTAGACAAGGCTGGCCTCTCACAAAGATTCACCTGCCTCTTCCTCCCAAGTGCTGGAATTAAAGGTGTGCGTCACCATGTCTGGCCTAAAGACTTTTTTTAAATTATGTGTATGGGTGAAGGGTATTGTACACTGAGTGCAGGTGCTCATGGAGATCAGAAGAGGGCATCAGATCCCTGACAGATGGAGTTATGGGCAGTATGAGTCGCCCAGTGTGGGTGCTGGGAACTGAACTTGAGTCTTCTGCAAGAACAGTTTGCACTCCTAACCACTGATCCATCTCCCCAGCTTCATTTTTTAAAATTATTCATTTATTTATTGTTTTATGTGTAAGAGTGTTTTGCCTACATCTGTGTAAGTGCACCTTTGTTGTGCAGTCCTTCCAGAGGCCAGAAGAGGGCATCAAATCCCCTGGCACTGAAGTTACAGATGGTTGTTAGCCACCATGTGGGTGCTGGGAACTGAATCCAGGTCCTCTACAAGAGCAGCCAATGCTCTTAACTGCTGAGCCATCTCTTCAGCCACATATTTTTTATTTTTCTTCCTTTTTCAAGTTTGGGCAGGCTCAAAAAAAAAAGAAAAGAAAAAGAAAAAGAAAGAAAGCCAGACATGGTAGCACACGTCTTTAATCTCAGCACTTGGGAGGCAGAGGCAGGCAGATCTCTGTGAGTTCAAGGCCAGCCTGGTCTACATAGCGAGTTCCAGGCCAGCTGGGGTTACAGGGAGACCCTGTCTCAAAAAGATTTTTTTAATAAAAGAGTGCTTGGGAGGCACTGGCCTCCATCAGGCCTGAATGTGGTGGAGATTTTGAGAGGTAGAAGGCCTTAGGAGGACATCAGATGTGAGCTCAAAGAAAGGGGAGAGTCAGGGAGCAACATCAAAACCTCTTTTCAGACACAGCTCCTTACTTTAAGCATGTTCTCTGCCCAAACAAAACTTTGCTGATCTTGAGCTTTAAAGTTTTTTTAAGATTTATTTTTATTTTTATTTATGTGTGCATGTCTGTGTACGCTGGCCCACAGAGACCAGAAAAGGGGTTAGATCCCCTGCAGCTGGAGTGACAGGCAGTTGGTAACTCTCCTGATATGGGTGCTGTGAACTGAACTGGGGTCCTCTGAAAGAGCAGTCAGTGCTCTTAACATTGGCACCATCTCTCCATCCCCCAGTTTTGTCATTCTTAAAGATTTATTTTATTATTTGTGTATATATGTATCTGTGTATATGTGCACATGCCCATGGAGGCCAGAAGAGGGCATATTAGATCCTCTGGAGCTGGAGTTACAGATGCTTGTGGGTGCTCAGAATCAAACTGGTGCTTTGAAAGAACAGCAAGCAATCTTAACTGTTGAGCCATCTCTCTAGCCCCTAATGTTTTTGTAATTTTATTATTATCATTATCAATATTATTATTTGTGTGGGGGTGGTGCGTGTGTGTGTGTGTGCGCATGTGCACGCACGCGTGCACATGAAACACAACATTTAGGACTCAAATCTTTCCTTCCATCATGGGATCTAGGAACCAAACTCAGGTCATCAGGCTCACACAGCAAGAGCTTTCACCCACTGAGCCATCTAGTCAGTCCTGGGCTCCCTTTAAAGAACAATGGCCCAAGTCTGTTCTCTTCTGATAAGTTGTCACCTGCCTCAAGGTCCTGCTGCCGGACCCCTCTCCTTTCAGGGTCCCGAATGTGGCCTCCTTGGTCTCCCAACACTCTGTTTATGGCCAGAGTCCCAAGGTGCCTGTTCTGACCCCTTGGGGATGTGAGCTCACATCTGGGATGTGAGCAAATGAACAGAATGTTGGAGAGGAAGAGGGGAGCAAAAAAGGATATTCAGCAGAGCGTTCAGGAAAGGAAACAGGTGAGCTCTGGCCCCTGCTCCAAAGTTACTCCCAAATATGGAACAGGAGCAACCTGACTCCTTCATTGATGGAAGAATGGATAAACAAGATGTACACACAGCAATGGGGTATTTCTTAGTCTTCAAAAGGAAGCCAGATCTGACTCATGCTACAACGCAGACGAACCCCCGAAGACACAGCACTCAATGAAATAGCCAGGCAAGAGACGATAAATACAAGTTGGTCGTGGTGCACTCTGGAAGGCTGTGGAGGCACATGTATGTGATCCCAGCACTCTGGAGGAGTAAGACAATAGAATCTCAAGTTTGAAGTCAGGCAAGACCCTATCTCAACAAAGGATAAAAGAAGGGGCCTTGGAAGACAGCTCAGCGCTTCAGTGCTTGTTGTGGAAGTGTGAGGACCAGAGTTCGGGTCCCCAGAACCATGGAAATGCCAGGTGGGCACGGCACGCCATGTGTAATTCTAGCTCAACAGGCAGAAACAAAGGATGCCCAGAGCAAGCTAGCTAGAGAGGCTAGTCATATCAGCGAGCTCTGGGTTTGATTGAGAGACCCTGCCATATTGAATGAGGTGTAAGTCAAAAAGGATGATTCTCCACATCAACCTCTGGCTTCCACATGCATGTGCACCCACAAGCATGTGCCAGTACACATGCACACACACACACACACAGAGTCGGTACACCATACATATGAAAATGAGAAAATGAGGAGGACAAATACTATATACTATAGTAATGGTTATACTATATAACCATTACTACAAGGTCCCTAGAGTTGTCAGAGTCACAGAGACAGAAAGATGATGGTTGCCAGGGACAGAGGAGACGAGAGAGGAGTTTAGGTTTGATGGAGACAGTTTCAGTCTGGGAAGGTGAAGAAAGCTGAAGCTGGATGGTGGTGAGGGTTGCAGAGCCACGTGTGCACTTGACGCCCCTGAACTGTGACTAATGATTAGCACCAGCAGTTTCATGTGATATACAATTTATCACAATTTTGTTTCCAAAAGAAATGAAAACAAAACAACCAAGGAGGGCCGAGGAAATGCCTCAGTGTAAGGCAAGAGTTGCACAAGCTTCATGACCCAAGTTCAATCCCTGGAGCCCGCAGAAGGAAATGTGGTTGCATGCATTTGTAATCCCACCATTCCTCCGGCAAGATGAGAGGCAGAAGCTAAACAGCCTGGAGTACACTACACAGCAGTAGAAACAAGACAGACCCTCCCTCCGCAAGGTCGAAGGCACATCTGATCTCCACATGAGCATACACGTGCACACACACATACATTTTTTTTAAGTCTATTTTTTTTCTTGTCTTTTTTTAAACAGGAGAGGGGCTAGAGAGATGGTTCAGCGGTTAAGAGCACTGGCTGCTCTTGCAGAGGACCTGGGTTCAATTCCCAGCACCCACATGGCAGCTAACAAGCATCTGTAACTCCAGTTTCAGGGGATCCGATGCCCTCTTCTGACCTCTGTGGGCATTGCATGGTAAGGGGGCACTCACCTACATGCAGGCAATACACTCATACACATAAAATTTTAAATAATAAAATATTTTTTTAACAGGAGAAGGGAGTCGGGGGAGTATCTCAACATGAGCAAAGCCTTGGGTTTCATCGCAAGCACTGGGAAGAAAAAAAAGGCAGGGAACCGGGAAGGCGTTAGACAGCTGTCCCAACCCCTGGGTGGACAAGCAGCCGAAGGATGGCTAGCCACAGACTAAGGACTACCGATCTCCTGTATGTGATTCTACAGACGGTGTGAAGACCCACAGGCACCGTCATGAGGCAAAGCCTGGGGATAAAGCCCTTTCACATGGATTTCTCTCAGGAAGGAAGTGAAAGGGGTGGCAAGCCTACACTTTGGGGAGCCCTCAAGGTCCCCTCGCTATGTTCAGAGGACCGGTCACTCTACCCAGACTGGAGCACAGAAATTTAGCTGATGTTAACAAGCACTTACATTGGATAACGCGTCAAGTCTCATTTGCATCAATCCTCCCTTTCTAGGGTAATTCTCCAGGGTTCAACAAGACGGAGGAGCAGAGCATGTACGGAGGAGAATTGGCAGACAGAAAACAAAGGATGGAAAAGAAAGGCTGAAAGGAGGGGATGGAAGAGAGAGGTGAGAAGCGAGGGGAGTTTCCAGAATTAGTCTACAGCTATTTATACCACCCCAAGTCTCCAATCTTGTCTGTTCTTTTCTGGGTTGTTTGTCTTTTTGAGTCAGGATCTCCCAGTAACCCCAACTGGCCTGGAACTCACACGTAGATGAGGCTGGCCTGGATCTCACTGAGATCCGCCTGCCTCTGCCTCCTGAGCGGACCGCCATGCCTGCCTTATCTGTTCTTGGAAGCTAAACAGTCAGGCCCGTTTAGTACTCCAGCACAGCCTGACTGGGTGCCTGACCTTCTGCTTTGGGGGTCCTCACAACCAGGCAGCAGTAGTGGGCTATTCGCAGTGTCTCTGCTGACCAGACATGGTGGACTGCTTCCCCTGTCTCCAGCACCACAAGCTGCACTCCCTGCTCAGTGAACAAGGCAGGCTCTGTATGTGTACTCAGGCCCTGCCTCCAAGGCAACCAAACATGGACAGAAATATTCCGGGGGAAAATGTGTTGATGTACTGAATACATGCAGACATTATTTTTGCCATTGTTCCCCAAACAGCAATGCAGTATAATGATTATTATGTAGTAATTACATTCCTTTTTTCTTTTTTTAAGACTCAGTCTCTAGCTTAGGCTAGCCTCAAATTCCCTGTGTAGCTGAGGATGACCTCAAACTCCTGATCTTCTTGCCTCTACTACCAAGCGCTGGGATTGCAGGTGTGCACTACCACACCCAATTTATGTGGTGCTGAACCCAGGGCTTCAGCATGCATGCTAGGCCAAGTACTGTACCAACTGAGCCACAGCATTTACATTCTATCAGGTATTTTAAGGACTCTAGAGCTTATTTAGGCATACAGGAGGATGTATGCAAATCATATGCAAATGCCACACTGTCATTTATAAGGGAATTGAGCACTGCGGATTTTGGTCTGGGTGGGGGGTAGCCTAGAACCAATCCCCTCAGACAATGAGAGACAGTCTTGCCCATTGAGCTCATGAAAGAAGGCTCAATGATGGAAGGGAGCCATGGCTGGAAAGCTGTTTTCCTTGCTTTGTTTTGAGACAAGATTTCATTATGTAGCCCTGACTGGTCTGGAACTCACTATGTAGTCCAGGCTGGCCTCACACTTAGGGTGATCTCCTGCCACTGCCTCCCAAGCGCTGGGATTGCAGGTCACCATACCCAGCTCTAGGAAGCTATTTTCTTCTACACAGATGGGACCTCTTCCTGTCCGTTGCTACATCAGGATTCTTCCTAGTGTGCTCTCTTTCTCTCTGCGTGGTGGGCCCTTGGGTAATTGTTCCTTTCACAGATAAGGAAACCATTTCACAGTGATGGAGGGGGTCAAAGGGCTGGGGAGAGAGGTTGTGTTGGGGTAGCAGGACAGGAAATGATGTAAAACAAAGATCGATAAAAGAAAGCTAGAGAAGTCAGGCAGGTAGAAAGGAGAAGCCAGGGAGAGGGCAGTCCAGAGGCCTCCTGACCTTTGCGCCCGTCCCTTTGGAAGTCCACGTGGCACCACTCGCCATCATTGACCTTACGGCTGGACGCCCGCAGCTTGATGCCCCCAGAGCCCATGTCCAGAAGAAGGTAGAGGTAGCCATCCAACAGCTCCATGGCAAAGTAGTCAGCCCGCTGCGCAGAGCTGTGGCTGCCCACTCCAGCCCCAGCCCGTCGGCCCTGACTGAAGAGCAGCAAACCGTTGGGTTCAGTGGTGCGGAAGTCCAGGGAGATGGAGCCAGTGCGCTTGGCGCTCCAGCGGGGCAGTGCAACAAAGGCCTCGGGGCTCTCAAAGGTCACAGGGTCCAGGGCAGCCACATCCTCACAGCGAAAAGACAGATCCCCCTGAAGTTTCATCTTCGGGTCCCCTTCCTTGGCCAGGCGGGATAACTCCAGCTTGAAATCATTGTTCTTATAGACCACCTGCAGGAAGGAGAGGGGTCAGGGGCAAAGAAGCAGAAGCCAACTTGGGCCTGGTTACCACAGGGGCCCAGTAGCCATGAGAACCATCCCCAGTGGCAATGGGGCCCATCCCCCATCCCCAGTCTTCAAGGGGCCCATCGCTCATCCCCAGCAGCCACAAGGCTCATCATCCATCTCCAGTGGCTAAACAGTCCCATCCCCAGAAGCCACAGGGCCTGCCACTCATCCCCAGTGGCCTAGTACCACCAGTCCACATGGCTTGGGCCTCTGTTCTACAGCTGCACCCTTCCTCTGTTCTTCATTCCAGCCCAGCACTGACCAGGCAGCTCCTGCTGTGGGGTCCCAGTTTCAGCTCAGCTGTCACTCCTATGACAGATAATTGTCACTAGTGTCTGATTGCTCTTTTCTCTTTATTTTCTGAGACAGGGTCTCACGTAACTCAAGATGGCCCTGAATTCAATGTCTAGTTGAGGATGACCTTGAACTTATCCTCCTGCCTCCACCTCCCACGTCCTGGGATTATAGATGTGCACCATCATGCCTGGTTTATATGGTGCTGGGGATGAAACGCAGGGCTGCATGCATGCGGGGCAAGCATCTTATCAAATGCGCTATACCCTCAGCCTCTGGCTGCTGTCTTCTAATGGATACTAACACTCTACTCTTTTTATGTGTGTGTGTGTGTATTGCCTGCATGTAGGTAAGTGCACCCATGTCATGCAATGCTCTCAGAGGACAGAAGAAGCTGTCGGATCCCCTGGAACTAGTTATGGACAGTTGTTAGCTGCCATGTGGGTACTGGGATTTGAACACGGCTCTTCTGAAAGAACAGCCAGTGTTCTTAATCATTGAGCCATCTCTCCAGCACCATTCTACCTTTTTTAATTAATTAATGTGTTTTTTTATATGTACGAGTGTTTTGCCTGCATGTGTGTAAGTGTACCTTGTACATGCAGTGCCTGTGGAGGCCAGAAAAGGGTGTCAGATCCCCTGGAACTAGATGGTTATTAGCTGCCATGTGGGTGTTGGGAACCAAACCCAGGACCTCTGCAAGAGCAGCCAGTACTCTTACCTGCTGAGCCATCTCTCCAGCCCCCTAACACTACATACTGAAACTAGACCTTTAGCCTTCAACCCTGAAGACCACTGGTCTATCCTGTGGACCACAGCAGCCTCTGAAGATCCTCAGAGGGGAGAGGAATTCCAAGTCTTAAGGAAAAGAAAGAGGAGACACTCCTGCAATCAATGGCTTTACATTTTGAAGAAGGATCTTGTCCCACTGTGGTCTCACAAGGATCAGAGAGGCCCAGCGCTGGCCTGGTCAGGCTAAAGCACATGGCAGGCAGGAAGCAAAGGGCTCTCCAGCCAACCCAAACCCTACTCACATCCTTGAGGCAGCCCATGAAATTGTTGCTGACGGGTGAGCCCGGCAGGTCCGCAGTGTTGGGGCTGCCCCCAATGTAGAAGAAGTCATCAGAGCCCAGCATGGTGTAATCCTCCTGCGTGTAGCCTGTGGTGGTGAGGATCCCGTCCACTGAGATGGTCACCTGCCCAGCCCAAGGAAGGGGGAGAGACAGGAGATAACCGGCATCAATGCCCTGGGAAGAGCCACAAGTGCGTAAGGGAGGGGCCAGGGGGCTTGGGGGAGGGGGACCCCCATTTTTATGTCTGCTTGTCTTGGAGGAGGAACAGTGGGGGGGGAGAAGGAGGAAGAGGAATCAGCACAAGATTTGATGGTTTCAAGGTGGGCTGAGGCCTGCCCAATGGGCCTCGTGGCCCCAGCTCAGCAGGCAGGAGCCTGCAGGCAGTGGAGAGTTCTCGAGATGGGCTCTGGGAAGCTGCTCTGCACCAGAATGGGACTCCAGGAAGGCCCTGCTATGAGGGTTGGGAGTGGGGAACCCCTCCACTGTCTTTCAACAATGCACTGCGGATATACATATGGCTTCTGAGCTTTTCTTTAAACAAGACAGAGAGCCCTGCCTGTCCCTTCACAGTGGTGATGGGACTCACCTGCAGCCCTCCCCTCAGGCCACTGCGTTCCTAGAGCCTTAGCAGAGCAAGTAGCTGGGACGGCTGGGAAGAGGAAGCCGCTGGTTGGCCAAAGAAGTCTTAGGACAGGTTGACTGACACCTGCCACCCAAGTTCTAAAGGTTCTGGAGTTTGTCTCCACTCTTAAGGTACCCCAATATTTGAGTCTTTTTTTAAAAAACCCAGGCTGGTCTGGAACTCGCTGTGTAGTCTAGGCTGGCCTTGAACTCGTGGTAATCCTCCTGCCTCAAACTCCCATGTGCTGGGATTACAAGCCTGGGAGTCACTGTTTTTAATCCCAAAGGAGAGGGCAGCCCTGTACCTATTTCCCAGCCGGCTGTTCATCCTTCTCCACAGATGTAACCCAGTTCTACCCTTAGAAACAGTGAGGCCTGGGCAAACCTCAGGAAATAGTCTACCTGGGGTGGGTAATTCATCCAGAAAACAAAATACCAAGAGTGAAGTGTGGTCAATGTTCGGGGAGGTGCACTGGGCTAGCGAAGGCAGAAGTCACGTTGTGGAAACTCTGACTCCCCAGGCCCAGTGAATGTCCTCTTGGTCCCTGAAGAGTCTAGGCCCCCAGAGGAGCCCCCAAAAGCTTCTGACTAACAGCAAGGCTGTAGGGGAGGAGCTAATGGCTCCTAGGAAAGCTGTGGCTTAGAAATGTCCAGGGGGCAGAGGTGGCCCTTTCAGGGGCCATTAGGGACCTGGTTCTCCTGTCAGCCCACCCTGTGCTTCCACAGGCCACAGGTTGTAGCACCTCTTGTTTCCCAAATATACCTCTAAAGTACCCCCTTTCCAGGTAAATCATCCAGGTCACAAGCTATGATGCCCCCAACTCCAGTCTGTAGCACAGGCTGCCCACTGCCTTCTGGCACCTGGTTTTCAGGATTCCATTGTCAGGAGGGTGGGGTAGAGTTCCCAAGGGACAGTGAAGAACACCAGCAGGAGGAGCACCCCATGTTCACCACTACCCAGAAGCCCCTCTGGTACTAGCTTGAGCCTCATGGTGAATCATGGTGGGGCTGAGGAGAGTGCGGGCTGGAGGCCACCTCCTGGGAATCATCAAACCTTGTGCTTGTGGAACTAGGTTCAAGGACAGGAGGGGGCAGGTATCTTGGTGGAGTGGGGGGCAGTCAAAGCTTTTGGGTCTTGATTTGAGGGGAAGATTGGTCATGATCTTTTTTCTTCTCCCCTCCACCTCATCCTGAGGTTGAGAAGTGGGGGGTCTGGGTGGAAAAGGTAAGGGTCAAAGAAGTATTAGTCACAAAAACATGCAAACAAGGTTAGACGGGCAGAGGGGAGTTGGGAAAAGGGAAGAAGAAGAATGAAAGGTGAGGAGAAGTCAGGGAGGGATGGCAGGTAGGGCCGCTCTAGGGCAATGTGGCTGCACCCGCTCTCCTCCAAGTCACCAGCCACTGTCCTGAAAGACAGAACTGGGCTGCCACTCAGTTCCTGAGCCTAAGTGAGCTCACCCTAACCAGGCTGCCAGTTCTGCAAGCACAGACACCTAGTCTGACACGTTCCTGGAAGCCGACTAACTCCAGCATAGTTTAGGGGATGTAGTACATGGTCATCAAAGGTCAACATCAAGTTGCCTTGTGACCCCACACCACCTTGCTGTCATCTCCAGCTATAAACCTAACTCCCTAGAACCTACGACTTTGGCGACAGAGCCTCAAGTCCCCCAAGAATAAGTGTGCTCAAAAATACAGTGCTCTCATGCAGGGGGAGGGGGCCTCTTGGTCCGCAAACCCTCTGGAAGCCTCTCTCCTTGGCTTCAAAAGCCAAGGCTTCACTCTTGAATCTTACACTACGGGCTCTCTTCATCCCACTCCCTTGGCCAAGGTCAAGGTCACCCTCTCAAGCCTGAGTTAGAAGGATCTGATGGGGCAGAGCATAGGAGCCCAGGAACAGGCTCCTGAGTCTCAGTCGGCCTGACGGCTTTATGGAAACCTCTTAATCGCCCTCTCATGGCCCATGGGATTGGGAAAGGATAGCAGGAGGCCGTGGGACCATAGGAAGGGGACCAACCAGGTGGGTGGGGAGAGAGAGAGGAGACGGCAGTGGGTAGAGAGGAAGCAGAGGGTGGAGGAAGGTGGAGAAGGCAAGAAGGGGGATGACTTAGGTTAGTAAAACCCGACTGTTCCCTCAGACAAACCAGTCCAGACACAAAAATGGCAGGTTCGTTAGTAAAAGCAGGAAACAGGGGACACATTCCCCTGCCCCCCTCCACTCCAGGGTTCTTGATGCCCCTGCCCCCCAACCCCCCCCCACAGCTTCTGGAAGGGGTGGGGCCAGCAGGGGAGGAGGGGAGGAAGGGGGCCCATGCCACACAGAACAGCCACTGTAGCTGGGACCCATGCGGGTTAGAGGAGCAGGGTGGGGAGCCAGGCCCAGCTGGGGCAGGCCAGAGAAAAGCAGCCACAAGGGAGAAGGCATGCAGGACAGGGGAGATCAGGAGGAGCGGAGATGGAGGCGAGAGCTGTGGGGTGCAGAAAGGACAGGCTTCCTTCCTCCTTCCACTGAGGAGGAGAGAGGAGCATCCACCGGGTCAGAGATGCTTAGGGACTGACAAAGAGAAGGGACATCAGACCTGAGTTTCCTCACCACACATTCACTGCCACTTACTACCCATCACCGAGCCACACTCATCTGTACACACACCTCATCCCAGAAGGCCACGGGTAGGAGGTCTTGACTGTCTGCTCTCCACAGAGCAGCATCAGGGGCCACAGCTAAAGCCCCAAGATGCAGCAGAGGGTCTACAGCCAACCCACACTCAACACTCAGCACAGCCAAGCAGGCCCAGTGGGTTCTGAGGAATGAACAGGGCATTTAAGTCCAGGCCCACTCACCCACACTCCCCAGGAGCAGGGAAACCAGCTGGAGGTGATCCAAGGAGCTTGTGACCTGGGTGGTCTCTTGGCCCTCCCTGTCAACCCCACCCCACCTCAGCTCTGCCTGGTTCACCCCCATGTAGGCAGGCTAGGTAGGATGGGAATCCAAGTCCTAACACAAATATCCCCACACGGGACAAGTTCCCCATGTCCACCGTGCCCTGAAGAAAGGCTAAGGGAAAAAAAAGGGGGTTCTCCTGCCACATCTGGAGCTGTTCCCAGAGGCCTGGCATGCTCACAGGGTCACTAAGCTCCCTTTTGAGGGAAAGATGAGAAAAGTGCTCTAACTTATGAGGAGCTGAATGGGCTTCCTGGAGCCCCCCTGACAGTGGAGGTAAAACTGCACCAATGAGCAGTTTGTCCCATGTGAGGCTTTATCGTTACCACCAGATCCTCCAGGATTCCTGTGGTTAGGAACTAGTCCATAAAAAAGTTCCTGCAGCCCCTTAGGGCAGAACAGTGACCAGGCTGGAGACAGACTGAAAGGAAGGAGGTGGCTCTAGTGTAGTCACCTGTTCTGTGTCAGATACACCCAGAGATGAGCACCACTGTCAGGATTTACAGCTCTCCCGTGAGTGCTGAGCTCTGGGTTTCATAAAGTTTCAAAGCAGAGGGCAAAGACTTCAGGTCAGAAGTCCTAGGCTCTCCTTTATCAGTTACTATTTCCCAGAACAATTTTGTCTCTCCGACTCCCAGCTTCAAAAGAGATTTAACAACTTCACTCCCATCTCTTCTTAGCTAAGTGAGCATCAAATGAGTCAAGGCCACTTTTGCTGGGTCCCAGATTCCTCATCCATTAAGTGGGAACAAGCCTAGCCTCCCTGCTTATAATCCAGGCATCATCAAGTTTAAATGAGATTCCAAATGTGGGCCCAGGAATATGGCTCAAAACAGCCCAGCAGGTAAAGGCAGGTACTGCCAAGCCTGACAGCCTGAGTTTGATCCCTGGGACCCACATGGTAGAAAGAGAGAGCCTATTCCTGTAAACTGTCCTCTGACCTCCTATGCACACCATTGCATATACACACACATAAAAATAAAATAAATAAAAATGTAAAAGGGGCAGGGCTGGAAAGCTGGTTCAGAGGTTAAGAGCACTGGCTGTTCTTGCAGAGGACCTGGGCTCAGTTCCCAGCACCCACATGGAGGATAACAACCATCCGTAATTCCAGTTCCAGGGGATCCAACACCCTCTTCTGACCTCCTCGGGCATTGCACAACACAGGTGCATTTAGATCCATGCAGACAAAACACTCATACATAGATCAAAATAAATAAATCAAAAAAATTGTTGTTTAAGATAACCAGGTGAAAAAAAAAAAAAAAGATAGCTGGCGAGCCTCCTACCCATCAAGGAGAGACACTCAAAAAACAAAAGGAGTTCATAGGAATGGATTAGCGTGAATAAATACAAAACTATATGAAACCCATGTGAGGGCTGCCCTGGGGAACGGAGTCTGTGAAGTTGGAATTCCGTTCTTTGACTCCAGTCTTGGTCTGAAGGAGCTGATCCTTAGGGTAAGTTTACAAGGGTTTCTAAGGCCACAAGAGGCAACAGGTTCATTCACCTGCCAGTGCTGATCACATAGGGATGTCCATTTTGCAGACTCAGGCTTGAGCAGGTATCTACACCAGGCCTGGCAAGGTTGGTGGCTTCTTAACCAGCTTCACTAGGCCATTCACCTTCTCTCCTCATCCCCATCCCTGAAGCATCCTGAGGTTTCATGCAGTTATTTTGAGACTGATTCCTAACAAGGAGCTGTAATAGGATCTCCAGTGGGTCCAGAGCTGCTGTATTCTCCAGGGTTTGCTAGGGGAAAGGAAGCATATCCTCACACAACATCCCTACCCTGGAAACAAAGGGGAATCAGCACACACTTTGGAAAGCTTAATAAAATTATGATTCCCTTTACAGAGCATAGAAACTTCGACTTGTGCTGCCCTCCTTGATCTTCTCACTGACCCATGAAATAAGCCAGGTAAGTGTGTGGTCACAAAATAGGCCAGGTAAGTGTGTGGTTGGCCTGTTGGGTAAATGAGGAAACCAAGCCTTTCTGGCATTGGCCCATGTTGACAACATTCACCAAATCAAGACTAGAAAGAATGTTGGGTCCTAATTCAAGGCTAATGTCTCTGGGTCCTGAGGTATATCACCTGGATTGATTCTGGCTCTCTGCCCCAGTCACTGGTTGGTTGTCCAGTGAAGCTCTGCAAAGAACGGTCTGTCTTTTGTTTTTAATTAACACAGTTTTTTTTTTATTTTTAAATATTATTTTTATTTTATGTGTATGGGTGTATTGCCTGCGTGTATGTGAGTACACCCGTCTCATGCAATGCCGCAGAGATCAGAAGAGGGCTTCGGATTCCCCTGGAACTGGAGTTAAGGAAGGTTCACAGCCTCCATGTGGGTGCTGGGAATCGAACCCAGGTCCTCTACAAAAGCAGTCAGTGCTCTTAACTGCTGAGCCATCTCTCCAGCTCCAGTTTTTTTATTTTGAAATTACATTTATATATTTATTTGATGTGTGTGTGCGCCATGACGTGTGTAAGTCAGAGGACAACTTGAGGGAGTCAGTTCTCTCCCTCCACCACGTGGGTGTCCAGGATCCAACTCAGGTCATCAGACTTGACATCAAGTGCCTTTACTCTCTGAGCCATGTGTGGTCCAGCAAAGAAAGTTCTTTGTTTCTGTTTGTTTTGTAAAATTTTTTATTTTTATGTATTTGAGTGTTTTGCCTGCAAGTATATAAGTGCACCTGTGTTGTGCAGTGCCTGCAAAGGCCAGACAAGGGTGTTGGATTCCCTGGAACTGGAGTTATGGAAGGTTGTTTGCCACTATGTAGGTGCTGGGAACCAAACCCAGGTCCTCTACAAGAGCAGCCAATGCTCTTTAATTGCTGAGCCATCTCTCCAGCCCCACAAAGAAAGTTCTTGATGGTCAGCACCTGGAAGATTCTCAAGGGCCTAGCCAGAGTGGATACAAACTAACTCATAGCTGCAGCAGCTGGACAAACAGAGCCTGCAAAGAGCTGGCGCAAACAGCATTGCAAGCCCCATTTGAACCCTGGAAAGCTGGAGAGACTACACAAGGTCTGAGACTGGGGAGGGGAGGTACTGGGCTGAGATGCACTGGCTGAGGACACTTCATCAATGTGTAAAGAAAAATGCACACCTAAAAGAGTGTCAGAGCTGGGCATGGTGATGCATGCCTTTAATCCCAGCACTTGGGAGGCAGAGACAGGTGGATCTCTGTGAGATTGAGGCCAGCCTGGTCTACATAGGGAGTTTCAGGCCAGCTGGGGCTACAGGGAGACTCTGTCTCCAAAAGAAGGTGTCAGGAAAGGCTTGACATGGCCTCAAAGGCTAAGCCTCCTGCGTCAGGAGGTAGGCATGGGGGCGGGTAAAGTGTAAAGGACCTCCCAGGCTGGGTACCATAGCTCTGATACCTCCTTCCCCTCTAGCCTTCTTGCCAGGCAGACCTGGCATGCTAGGCAAACCAGGCAGCTGCCCCAAACGCCTCCCACCCCATGAGAGCAGACACGTCCGTCTGCAGGGTCCCTGGCCTGGTGTTCAATCACTCTGCATTATTAATAGGCGATGACTAACTGGCGGCTGCTGCAGAGCCGGAACCGGGCAGGCATGAGGGAATCCCAGGGGATCACGCACTGCACCGCAGGGCCGGCAGGCACACACTGTGAGACAAGCCAGAGGAGCAGCACGGGGCCCAGCCACTCCCTGTCTCTTTGCCTGTTGTGGCACCTACACCACCAGCCAGCCTCTCCTGCCCGCCTCCATTCAGAATCCTCACTGGGTCCCAGAACCCATCCAGGCCCACAGCCCTGTTCTCACCAGCACTTCCGCATGCAGAGAACCAGCAGTCTCCCAAACACACAGCATGGTTTCCCACTAACACCCCTAAATGTCACACCAACATTTACACACAGTCACACCCACACAACAACACACACCAGCTGCCTTTACACTGACACCCACACCAGCATTCACCAGGACAGAGCCCAACCCAAACACAGGAGCTCACTCAGGGCGTGACAAAGACAGCTGACAGTGGCCCACTCCTCCCCTGCGGGGTCTCCTCCTCTCACACCCTCCAGAGGAAAGGAAGCCAAGCCCTGTCAGAGGCCATGCAGGAGAGGCAGGGGACACAGAGGGGACAGGGCTGAAGGGGAAGGGAGACAGTGTGAAACACAGTGTTAGTTGGAGCAGCAGAGCCATGGGGGGATCTGGACACTATCCCTGGTTGGGAGAAAGACCATTCGTGCCATGCAAAGTGTGGGGGAGACAGAGCTGGGAATCCTCAAGGCTAAGAAGTAGGGGGTGGCAGCCAGCACAGGGCAGTCCCGAAACTGGTATGAACTGGTAACTTGAAGGCAGTCCCAAGGCCATCCTCCCACCCCCCCTGGGGAACATACCCAGCTGGCTGCCATTTGGAGGTCATGCCTCCCGGCCCCCTTCCCAACTTGAGGGGCCCCCGTCTGGAGCTGACAGTGAGCAGAGCATAGCGTGTCATGGGATGGTGTTTTCCATGGATTTTCAGGAGACCAAGAAAGAAACCAAATCAAAGAGAGAAAAAAAAAGGAGGGGGGAGGGGAGGAAAGAACAAAAGAAAGTAACAGAAATAGGCTGCTTGGCACCGGGACTGGTCTAACCAGAGCCCATGACCATAGGGCCTGGCCCCAGGTCTCTCAGGCCAGGAATCTGAATCAGAAGGCAGGGAGTAGAGGGCGGAGCCCAGCTAAATGCCTGGAGTTCCATTTGTCTTTTGGTTTTGAGTTTGGACAAAAAAAAAGAAAGAAAGAAAGAAAGAAAGAAAAGAAAAAGAAAAAGGGAAGGAGAGAATCTAAAAAAGCAAAATTTAAAAACTGTCCAGGATGCAAAAAAATAAAATTGGAAGAGTCAAAATAACGAAAAGACAAACGAGAGAGGAAACAAAAGTGGGAGAATCGAAGAGTTAAAAAACCCACGGCAAACCAAACGGTAAGACAATTAGAGTGATATCTACCAGATAATGCAGTTTGTTTACCATAGCGTGTCCAATCCCTGCGTGCTTCACCGGAGATGGGGGAAGGGGAAGGGGTGTCCAAAAAAGGGGAAGAAAAGAAAACAGAGACGACACAAAAGAACACAACGAAAAAGAAAAGAAAAAAATGACCAACTGTGAAACTCAAGGAAGGAGGAAAATATATAGCGTATATATTTGGTTGTTCATTTGAACCCTCCCACCTCAGGTTCAGCAGACGAATTTAAAGAAAAAAAAAAGTATAATAGGAGGGAGGAAGAGAACACACACAAAATTAAATCCTTCTTCTTCCAATCCCTCCCCGGCCCCCTCCTCTGGATTCCTCTCCCCCCTCTTATCCCATCCCAAAAGACAGCTGCAGAGAAGGGGAACAGTTAGAGACCTTGGTTAGTAGAGAAAGAAACAACAAAAGAACTGGACCAAGAAAAGCAAAGACTTAAAGATGGCCGACATTCCGCAGATGATACAGAAAGGTTAGTTTGGTTTTTCACTCATACCTGGTCCCACCTGTCCCTGCCCATCCCTCGGTCCCCTGGGTTGTAAGCATGTTAGTAACACATACAGAGTCAGTAACAGGGGGGTTTTCCAACAGGAGGTGGGAGAGGGAAGGGTTAGGGTTAAGAAGCAGACCCGGTATGCAAGATTAGTAGGTCCTATTGCTGAAATGTTAGGGAGTTAGGGGAGGGAGAGAGGGGAGCACGAGGGTGAGAGTGGCCGGGCCCCTGACTCAGGAATGGACGGATGGCTTTGTTGGCTGACTGGTCGACCAGATGGCTTTCCATAGAACTGACTGAGGAGTAAGGTGGTGTTGGCCAACTGGCTGACCAGTAGCTATGTTGGGTTAATGGGTTAACCGGTTGGTGATAGGCCAACTGGCTGTCAGGCTAGGAGAAGAATAGACAGTTTCCCCAGAGAATCACAGGACTGTCAAGAATAGGGGGTGCTTTCATCTGGAGGCCAAAGGAAAGAGTTCCCTAGGAGCATGGGATGGGACTTGGGTATCTGCTTTTCCTGGGAATGGAAGATGGGAAAATAGATCCAGGGATCATTGGAAGAGAGGGGCGGCTCTCTCTCCCTCTATTTTTTTCCCCTTGTTTCTCTTCCTTGAGAACTGAAGAGAGCCGAGTCACCATTACCAGGGGGTGAAGGAAACCTAGCCCTCCATGGGCTCTAGAAGAATTCATGTTCACACTACCCCAAGCCCTCCTCCCTCTTCTCCCCGCCACCAGCTGACTCCTCCTTCCTGCCCACTCTGACTTGTCCAAAGGCTCCAGTTTTGTCAATTGCCCCGCCCCATTCTCTTACTCTCAGAGTAGCCGATCCTCCCAGAATTAAGTACCTGCCATCAACACCCATGCACGGCCTTGGAACTGGTAAAGCTATCCCAGCAGCTAGCCTCCTTCCATGTACCCATAGACCCCTGAACCTCCACTTCCCATAAACAGTGCCAGAAATTCACACATAGCCCCTCTACCCATAGAAAGAAACACAGAGGCCTGCATCCCTCAACGTTCCCTTACTTTCCTCTGAACTGTAGGCCACATTCTGCTACCCTGGTCTCTCACTTTGTCCCCCCTCTCCATGTTCTTCTGAGTTCATTTTCTCCACCCAATGCCTTCATCCACCTTCAGTATCACCCTGGCCTTGGGAGAGGAGCTGTCAAAAGGATGGAGGCAGCTTTACTTAAGAGCATCAGGGATGGAAGAACACCGGTGTTCAGTGTCCAGTAAATACTAACCTGCACACTTGAGACTGTAACAGTGGGGAATGGAGTTCTAGGGGCAGATCCATTAGTGAAAGAGTTCTTAGGACAAACAGGCTCAGGACTAATTGAGTAAGACAATTAATAAGGGTCTCACATATTAAAAAGAATTCTGCTGGGCATGGAGGCGCAAGCCTTTAATCCAGCTCTCAGGAGGCAGAAGCAGGAGGATCTCTGTGAGTTCAAGGCCAGCTTGGTCTACATAGTGAGTTCTAGGACAGCTGGAGCTACAGGGAGACCCTGCCTCAAAAAGACGAAAAAAAAAACAGAATTCAATATTTAGTTGCAAGGGAAATCTGGTCACAGGTATGGTGATGGGAGCGACAGGAACCCTGTGGTAAGAGGATTTGTACTGTCAGGACATGAAGAGCCCAGCTAGTCAGACCAACGACGAACAGTCAGCCTCAGCACAGCCAAACTAATAGCACCCCCAAAGAGCTGCCTGATGCCATTGCAGCAGTTAACAAGCTGGGCAAAGGAGGCTGGAGGTAAAAACTCAAGTGTTTTGTGTAAGACTGTTTTGAAGCAGATCCAGTTACAGAAAACAAAATGGTGGGGAGGAGGGAGGCTAAGCACTCACAGACATTCCAGTGTTGATGAGAGCAGTGGATTAAAGCCAGGACCCAGAGGGAAGAGATGTGAGTTTGAAGCCTGGGCCTTCCACTAATTTGTCAAGAGATCCAGACATCCCCTGGATGAGAGCAGGTCCCTCTGGACCTAGAGGCAGAGGATGCAGACCCTCACAGTGACCATGCCTGTGGTCATTTACTAAAATGGAGCTTCCATTGGAAGCCCTTCCTGTGACATGGCAGCCCAAAACCTTTCCAAAGGCCCAGATCCCCAGAACTAAAGTTTCCGACTGATAAATTAACAGTGAGGCTTATTCCACTCCTAGTGCCCAGAAACACAAAGATGTGGTGGCCATAAGTGAGGAGGGCATCCCAGTCAGAGTGGAGTAGCCATCCTATCAAGAGGACTTGCCATGGCCAAGCAGCTTTGGAGAAAACTATATCCTGTCTCCACCTTGAACTCTGAGTACAGCTCCAGCATCCTAAAGAAAGCTAAGAGGCTGTAGACAGAACAACAAAAATCTAGTATGTGATCATGCGCAGGGCAGCTGGTGACAAAGAGAAGCGGTCCCTGATCTTCAAATGACAACAGCCAGTCCCCCCACTCACTCCCAAGGGCAAAGAAATGGATTGGCCTCAGATCAGGTTTCCACTTCTGCACCTCCCAACTTCTAACCAGACAGGCTTAAACAAGTTTCTCCTCTGGTGCCTCGGTTTCCTTCTCAGTTACACGGGAAGAGTGGCTCCCATTCACAGAGCTGTTCTAAAAACTAGGTGAGATGCCAAAGACAGATGAGATCCTTGAACCTGGAGAGCTGTCCCACGCCGTCTGAGAGATGCTCTGACAGGATTGGACCCTGAGCAGGGTGCAGGGTAGGCAATCTGTTGATCTTGTAAAGCAAATCAGCGTCTTTCAGGAGGACAAAGGGTAGTTCTAGGACTGGAGAGATGGCTCAGTGGTTAAGAGCACTGGCTGCTCTTACAGAGGACATGGGTTCAGTTCCCAGCACCCACTTGAGGGCTAATAACCCCGTAACTCCAGTTCCATGTGATTGGCACCCTCTTCTGGCCTTCACAGGCATTTCGCACATACAGTACATTTACATGTATGCAAGCAAAATACTCATACACAAAACACAGATAAATTTAAAAAAAAATTTAAGGTAGTCCTGGCATTGTTTTTGTTTTTATTTGAAACAGGTTCTTCCTACATAGCCCAGGCTGCCAGTCTCCAACTCAGTCAACTCAGTGTAGCCCAGGCTGGCCTCAAACTCATGACAATCCTCCTGGCTCAGTTTACAGACCTGCTAGGATTACAGGCATGGGCCGCCATACCCAAGAGGTAGTTCAGTGTTCTTACAAAGTAGTTAGTTCTGCAGTGACAGAGCACTTAGCTAGCATGTACCAGGCCCTGGGTTCCACTTCCACACTGCAATTAAAAATAACAACCCAAAAGCCAGGCGTGGTGGTGCACACCTTTAATCCCTGCACTCGGGAGGCAGAGGCAGGCAGATCTCCGTGAGTTCAAGGCCAGCCTGGTCTACATAGTGAGTTCCAGGACAGCCGGGGCTACAGGGAGACCCTGTCTCAAAAAGACAAAAAAAAAAAAAAACCTTGAGGGAGACAGAGCATTGTTGAAAACCACCACACCCCTCATGGCCCCTGTGATCACAGCAGGGTTTTCCAATCCTAAAACATCATCTGTATTCTGTACACACTTGGATGCATAAGGTTCTTCCCAGAAGCTGTACTGACATTTGAGATCAGATGATTCCTTGTTTGTGGGGCTGTCCTACAAACTATGATGATTAGTGGAATCCTGGCCTCCACCCACAAGATGCCAACAGAGCCTCTTGAGTTATGGCAGCCCAAAAGGCCTCCAGACATTGGCACAGTGAGACTGGGTGATTGAGATACACTGCTAGAGCAATAGGACCAAAGCTGCTCTCGGAAGTCCTGGAAAGCACCTAAGGAAAGGGCCCGGTAAAGATGCATGTGACTACAGGCTCCGTCTCAGGCAAGGACAGAGATTCCAGAGCATGGACCTGGGGCTGAGCAAAGGCTCTCAGTCGTGCTTTCTGCATCTCTTTCTTGCCCCTGATTGGATTCCAGAGTAAAAGAAATTGCCCCCGAAGCCCTTTGTGAAGAGGGTTCTCCATCAAGGTCTTTAAGCAGACATTCTCTGTGGCCCAGAGGCCCTACATTTGGGTCAACATGACCTGCCTATACTCCCTAGAACAATCCAGGAGAAGGAGATTTCCATCAGTTTCCAATGTGGACCATGACTCCACACACTCCAGGAAAAGGTGATCATAAGTCATTGTCTACACTCTGTGCACTGGGGCCATATGTCACCCCATCCATGTTGGTGGCCTCAGCCTCATTACAGAGTTCTCCCTCCTCTTAAAAATCTCCCAAGATTCCAGAATTGTTTCTGTGGTCTGCTAGTCACGTGCATGGCTTTATTCTGTCCATTAAAAAATTAGTAAATTTATCTATTCATGTATTAATCTCTGTTCATGTGTGTATGTGCACGCCTACATGTATGGGCGCACATGTGGACACGCCTGCGTGAACACGCATGTGTGAATGTATGTGGAAGCCCAAGGCTGTGCTGGGTTTCTTCCTCAGTAGCACTGCACTTTACTGAGGCAGAGCCTCTTGCTGAACCCCAAGCTCAGCACTTCTGGCTTGTCTGTTAACTAACCAGCTTGTTCCAGGGATCCCCTTGTCTCTACCCTGCAAGTGCTGGGATTACAAGTGGCCAGCCACTGCATATGCCCCAGCCCATACATAGGTTCTAGGATCCAAACTCTGTTCTTCACACTTTGTACCAGGTGCCTTATCCACTGAGCCTCCTCAGGCAGGGAGCATGACCTTCTTTTCTGTGTGTCCAGTATGATGCACCATATTTTTTGGCCAAATAACATGGGGAAAGGACTGTGGGCTTGTGGTGTCTTGTCAAAGACAGTACCAGCTGACAGCTTTAGTCTGAGGGACAGCGAGGAACTGAGCAAAAGTCACCAAAGGTAACTTCCCTAATCCCTCAATAAAATGCATGTGACACCTGAAAGTATCACAGATGCACCTGATACACTTGGACATGCTCCAATGGAGGTGACAACACAGGACAGCCCTCTGATGGGGGATGGGATGACAGGAGGCAAGGGGGCATGCATAGAGAAGGAGTAACTCCATCAGGCATGTCACTCTGCAGAGTGGGGGCGGGGCACTAAGAATAGGTATATCAGTAGGAGCTGGACTGCAACAGGTAGCAGCAGCTCCGGAAAGAGCAGCAGGATTAGTCATGGCATTGACAAGGCATAAAGAGAGGAGGAATCCCCGTCAGATCAGCATCCAGTGCTGTTAAATAAGGACAGGTAAGAGGAGTGGGAGGTCAGCAGAATCTGAGTCCCATTGACGGGTTTCCAGTGGGAGGAAGGAGAGGAGAAGGGATGACAAAGGTGCTGACGAAGAGGAACATCAGATAGTTAACCACCACCGAACTAGAACCAGGAAGTCCAAAGATGATAACTAGCAAGAGAAAAACCGCCAAGCCCAGAATGGAGCCTCCGTGGCAGGGTTGCTTGGTTTCCCCAGCTGCGTTCAGCCCTGGGGAGACGGAGCTGAAAGAGGAGCTAGGACACTGGGGACCCAAGAGTGTGCAGGAGAGCCAGGAGCCAGGGAGCTGGTGAGCAGGGGGAGGAGCCCGGAGGTGGAGACAGGAGTCCCCACGGGGACCCACGATGGCCTCACCTGCCTGGAGAAGAAAGGTCAGCTTGGACCTGACTGGAGGTGGGGACTTCTTAGGGCTACAAATGAGCCATGAGGCTCCTGTCGAGTGAAGCCTGGCTGGGGAGAAGGCCGCCTTTACAGTAGCCACCGTGGATGGGTTCTGAGAGCCTGAAGAGGGTGGCTCCCCTAAGGCCGCTTGTGCAGTGGGCATGTCTTCTGGAAGTAGAAGCTGAGGGGACACTGTGAAGAAAGGTGTCCTATGCAGGGGCTGACGCAGAGGTATCCTTGGAGCCACTGTGCAAGGAGGCTACATCAGCAGAAAGTAGATGTGGACATCAGGGAAAGCCTGGGTGTTTGGAAGAAAAAAGGAAGGCAAGTCCTGCCCAGAGGAGAAGCAGAACCGGGCATCCTCCCTGGTCCTGGGTCCCTCATGCACCTGCTGCCTCCACTCCCTCTCATTGCCTCTCTGCCTCTGTGCTGGGCAAGGCCTGTGGAGGACAGACCACATCCTGCCCACCTTGTGCCCCTGCTCTCATTAGTGCCTTGCTACCCTCTGCCCCTGCTCCCCTAAAGCACCCCCTCCCCACCCCACAGCACACGGAGCCCTCACTCAGGCTCCAGATCCCTCCTCCCATCTCCTGACACTTGAGTCCCAGGCCTCCAACAAAACCCTAGCGGCTCCCACCAATTTGAGTTTAGTCATAGCCCTGGCCTCAGGCTCCTGCCTGAGAGACAGCACTGGAGTCTCCTAGATCAGCTCTCTGGTAGATAAGGTCTCAGAAGACTGCCACAGAGTTGTGGCCACACTTCAGGGCCCCCACGCCCCAAGCTAGCCTTCTCCACAAAAGCACCTCACTACCCAGCCCTGACCTCTCCCACCCCACACCCCAGACAGCCCTCAGTCCTCAGGTGTGTTCACCCCAGACGCTGCTGAGCCCTAGGTTTCTTCCTGCTCCCCCTACCTGGCGCAGGTTTCGGGTAACCCGGACGTCATGCCAGGCGTTGTCGTTGAACTTGCCATTGACGGGTTCCACGAGGGCCTCGAAGGCGCCCGAGCCTAGGTTGATGACCAGCCAGACAGCCCCAGACTTGAGGGACAGGTTGACATAGTCAGCCGACTTGCCCGTGTGCAGCATCAGCCCGTTGCGCTGCAGGGTGCGGAAGGCCAGCGTGATCTCGTCTGTGCTGCTCTGGATCGGGTTGTGTGACAGGTCGTAGCAGAAGAATTCATTGCCCTTGAAGGTGGCCACAAACTCCTCCTTGCCTGGACACCATGGTTTGGGAAAATGGGAGAAGACTGAGTGGAGAAGGGTACACCAGAGCCTCCCCCTTCATCTCCAGCACCCCAAGTGTGGGTCCTGGACACAGGAGTCCTGTGGTTCCAACTCTAAGCTTAAGCCCTCTTCCCCTCCCTCATCCTGTCAACTTGGATCCTGCTGTCTTTGCCATCAAAAGTCGACTTCCCCCAGGTCCATTTCTGAAGCAGGAGGCTGCTAAGTGGCTCTCACACTGACAGCTGACAATTAAGCTGTCACAGGGCCAGACAAAGCCACAGGCTTCACAACTCCTCCCCACCAATCCTCCCATCTACCACCCCTTAACAAAGGGACATGGGGGAAGAACAAGAGGCCCTACCTGGCTTCTCCCTCCTTAGGGCCAAGACACCAAGGGTCTTCTGAGTACCCTACCTCCTCCTTCACTTCCCCCTCCTGCCTCCTCTGTGGTGACAGCTATTCTCAGTGTCCAGGGACAGGGGCAGTTTCTCACCAGATGGGATGGAACCAGTGGGCCTGTTGTACAGGCCTGAGCATGAGGAAATGGGAAGTCATGGATTGGAGTAGGGCAGGAATAAGACACAGATATGCACCAGGTGACAGGCCATTCTGCAGCACTCACATGGATGGCTACCACGCCAGCTTTCTCCCCTTCCCAGCTTCCTGCCCCAACGTAAAAAGCCCATAAGCCTAAGACTCAGAGTGAGTAGAAGGGGTGGGCCTGGATCTCATGAATGCTCATGAATGTGCATGACTTGTGTGCCCCTGTGAGAGTGTGTATGAGTGTGTGTGTGTGTGTATGTGTGTATACTACCCAGCCAATAGATGATGGATGGATGGATAGATAGATAGATAGATAGATAGATAGATAGATAGATAGATAGACAGATAGATAGATGTGTATACATATGTGTGTGTATGTGCATGGACACAGCACCATGTCCATTTGTGTGTGTGGGTGGTGTGTGTGTACACAGAGCTCAGCTTATAGATAGATAATAGATAGATAGATGTATACATATATGGGGAGTATGCATAGACACAGCGCCCAGCCTGTTTGTGTGTGTGTGCATAGTACCCAGCCACTAGATGATAGATGATAGATAGATAGATAGATAGATAGATGATAGATAGATAGATAGATAGATAGATAGATAGATAGATAGATGATAGATAGATATGTGTACATATATGTATGTGTATGTGCATGGACACAGCACCAGGTCCATTGTGTGTGGGTGTTGTGTGTGTACACAGCACTCAGCGTATAGATAGATGATAGATGATGATGATGATTGATAGGTAGGTAGATAGATAGATAGATAGATAGATAGATAGATAGATATAGACATAGACATAGACATATATGGGGATATACATAGACACAAAACTCAGCCTCTTTGTGTGTGCATAGTACCCAGCCGATGATGGATAGATGGATATGTGTACACATACGTACGTGTGTGTATGCAGGGACACAGCATCTACCTCATTTGTGTGTGTATGCATGAACATAGCACCCAGCCTGTTGTGTGTGTGTGTGTGTATATGTGCACACAGTACCTAGCCTGTAGATAGATGATATAGGCAGACAGATAGATACATAGATAGGTATGTGCGTGTGTGTGTGTGTGTGCACGCGCGCTTGGACGCCCAGCCCAGGGTCCTTTCCACTGGCAGTTTTTAAGTGGAAGCTGTAACTCTTGGGAGAGCCTCAGGGATCACTGGTGTTCTGCAAGCACAAGTGAGAAAGCAATAACTCTACTAGGAAGATGAGGTCCAACCCCTCAGATTCACACACCAGAGCACAGGCACAGGAAGAGACCAGATGTCCTGCACCCTAGCAGTGCTTGCGTCTCCTTGTCTGTAAATGATGACACCCCAGCTGATCCTACCTACCTCCCTGGGTAAACCAGGGGCAAACACAACCCTGTGTCATGAGGGTCTTTAGGCAGAGACTGAGCTATCCAAGTGAAGGGCTTCTTAAGAGATGCTCCAAAGGCCCAGGAAAGAGCAGGCATTGTGCCAGGGATATACAGGACCACCAAGAGGCACCTGCCCTCCCCTGGGGGCAGGCTCAGCAGCAGCACCATGTGTGGACACGGGGGTCTCTGTATGCAGATTCTGCAGAACTCATCTGCTGCACACACAGCCTGCCTGTCTCCCTCCAGGCAGGCTGCCCACACTCTGCCCCCACTGCATCCAGATGCCAAGTCACCAGCTGCTGCCCCAGAGCCTGGCTCAGCCCTCACTGCAGCTGGCAAGGCCTAGTGTCCTGAGGCCACAGGGCATCAAGCTGGGGGGTGGGGCATGTGCCACATAGGGACAATCTGAATCCCTCAGTCTGTCTATTTAGGGGACCAGAATCAAATGTGAAGCATCCAGGAGAGACAAGAATGGACAGGAAAATGATGTGTAGAATACAGCCTGGAGAAGGAGAAAGATGAACCACGGAAGGACTGAGGAGAAATGGAGATCGCTCAGGGCTGTCAGGGAAAGACAGGTCGCATGGCACTGTATCGATAAAGAAAAGGAGCGGGCCCTGAGGACAAGCAAGGGAGATAGAAGAGGACCAGCAAGGAAAGGGGACAGGGACCTCATGGGAATGAAAGCCAAGGCTTTCTGGGGCTTTACTGTTTCCATAGCAACCAGGCCTGCTGCTCAGACACTGGCAGAGCCAGGGGGCTCAAGGACCAGAAAAGGAAATGTGTTTGACCTTGGGTTTGCCGCCCATACCGTTAGCCCCACACGGAAGTCAGGCCTCCCCTCCTACCGGCTCACCTTCACTGAGGTCAAAGAAAACATCGTTACAGAGAGCCAGACAGAAGAATAGGGGGCCACCTGGAAAAGTGATTGGGACAGAACAAAAGAAGCCAGGAAAAAAGGAGAGAGGCGGGGCTGCGGCTGGACCAAGGCAGCTAAGGCAAAGAGCAGAAATGAGGGCATTTCTCGACTCCGGAGCCAGACCCAGGAGAGGAGGCAAGGCTAGCCAGGCTGCAAGCCGGGACTTACTGGACTCCAATCCTTTAGGCTAAGAAATGGGAAGACATAGCGCTGTCAAAGCCTTTGGGGAAAGGGACAGAAGGTAGGTGAGCAGAGAAAACAGAAAAGGGGGGAGGAGAGGGGGGCCCTCAACTGTCCTAATGGGGAACACTTTGGGGATCAGGATGGAGGGTGACCAGTGGCATTCAGCGGAATCGAGGATACACAAGTCAACCACCAGGGGGTGCTCTGACCCATCGCTTGTACGGGCCAGACGAGGAACTACAACTCCCAGCAGCACCTGAGAAATTTCGACTCTTAGGAGCTTCCAGAACAGGAAAGGAGTCACGGCTGACACTTGTTTGCCTCTCTCAGTCCGGGAGTCTGTGGCCCTACAAGTGTCACCAACGAAGCCGATTGTGGCTGGAACTGACTGTTAGGGTCTTGGGTTTCCCAGTGCCATGAAAGGGAGGGACACAGCTGCCTCCTTTCCAGTCCTGGCTCGAAGACCTCCTCTGGGAAAGTCTCCAGCCCCCTCCTGCCCCTCCCTACTCTGGAGAGCTACAGCTGTCCTGCGCATTTGGCACTAGATTTGCCTAGTAACATCTTGTGCATTTCCCTGGGGAGGAAGTGTGATGTGAGAAAAAAGACCTGGGCGCTGGTTCTGGCTCTGCCAACAGGCTTTGTGACCTTGGCCAAGTTACAGCAGCTCTAAGCCCGGCTTTCTCCTCTGGAAATAAATGGAGCTAATCGGCAGCCAACCTCCCAGGTTGCTGCAGGAATCGAGAAAGACAACGGACAGGACAGCTTCCTACACCGTCATCCAGCCCCCACACACAAGCAACTCTTCTGGATGTAACTTCTGTGGAAGCACACCCGCTCTGCCCTCTCTCAGTGAATACATTAACTCCCCTGAACAAAATCTGCACGTTTCATACACTTGCATGGACCACGTTTATTGTAGCTGTTTGTCAGACCATCAATGAGCCTCCTGGGAACAGAGACCATTCACTCATTTAAAATAAATGTGCCAAGCTCATGCCTATGTATACGCCTGGAGCTGTGCAGAGCACGGAGAGTTACAAATGAAAATATCAGATCCCTGTCCTCAAGGAGTTGTGGGCCGCGGGGGCAGCTGGGAACAGGTAAAGTGACAGGATGTGGAGTGACTGACTCTGATGGAGGTGTAGACAAAAGGGGCTCCCAGAAGTCCAGGTTGACCTGGGGGAGTTCAGGGAGACTTCCAGCATGGACAGCCTGGCTGCTTTTTCAAGAGTCAACTCAAAGAGACAGCAAGGAGCTGGGCCCAGGCAGACAGAAGAGCCTGGGCTGAAAAACGGTGTGACAGCAGGAGGCCTTGGTCCCACTAAGGATCTCTGAGAATTGTCAGACAAGCCTGTATCCTTCTTAGCAAAGAGATTCTCATGAGAGAGGTAACCTCAGCCCTGGAAAAGAAACCAAAATCCTAGTTCCCTAAGACACACTGAAGGGCCCCATGCTGGCTTTGGCCAATGTCACTTTAGCCAGCTATAAAATGAAAACAATGATCCCAGCCACCAAGTGTCACCAAGGCTCACTGAGACATTGTGGGTACATATGGAACACAGGTGCTACCAGATTCCTCCAGGCAGGGGGCCTAGCAGGCTTCTAGAAATCGATTCATCAGTCCTTACATGGGAAGCTGTCCTGCCACCCAGCACTCCACCACAGCAACGCCTTCTAGGGACCAGCTTGACAACTGCCAGGGAGAGGGACACCTGTGTTCGAAGAGGTCATAGGAAAGAGACTGAAGTTGTGGCCTTTCACAGGGCAGGGGATGGCACTGTGGGAATGATGGTGGGGTACAGGCCTCTGCAGGCCTGAGGACAGGATGCAGGGGAGCTGCCATGGACCTGTGAAGACTCAGCTGCCTTCCAGAATGCACAATTATCCTATAGCAGGCAAGGGCTGGGCTCTCTGGGGACCGTGGGGTCACTGACCTTTTGTCGGCTGGTGCACATCGCCGGCTCCTCCTCTCCCGGCCCCCCCCTCGGAGAACAGTAAGGACCCTACTGGAGAAGCAGAATTTGGGAGTCAGGTATGGGGGCTTCGAAGTCAGTCCCACCCCAGCCTTGAGGTGACGGAGGGCCCTGTCCCGGGGCAAAGGTACTGCTTATGGGTGAAGAGGGATTCTCTGGGCCTCCCTGGCCTTCAAGACCTCTTGAGAAGGAACCAGTTGACAAATCAAAGGCCATCAACTCCACAGACCCTATCAGACTTTTGACCACCTATTTCTACCCTTTGCCAGGGTGAGGAGACAAAGTGGAAGTGCAGAAGGGCAGCCCTGAGGACTGAAGGCGACAAGCTTCCCACTCACCCTCCTGGCCGCTGCCACCTCCCTAAGGCTCATGCCCCTCCCCCACTGGCATCTCTGTCCGTCCACACCTTCTGCTAGGTCAGAGTTTCCCCTTGTCCACCTATTTAAAAGTCACCTCAATTCACACAGTAGACCCCTCCTGTTCTCTGCCTGTCCTCTCACCAGCCACTTATAACCTGCTTTGGTCCCTACCGTGGGTGCTCTGATAGTCCCCAGGTAGAACATGGGGCTTCCCAATTGGCAGGTTGTCCCTCCACAATGCCTGCAGAAGGGCTCTGTCCACCAACAGAATCCCAGCTAGGCAGAGCACACCAGGAATATGGGGAAGTCTTAATCAGAAGTCAGTTCTCAATCTATGCCCTGTTCAACAGGGTCTCAGCTCCTAAGACTCACAGGCACAGGTTGCTGTGTCTGGGCTCCAAGCTGGCTTGAGCCTCATCCATCCTTGCCAGTGAACACAAGCTCCCTGGCTCCAGCCCTACGGCCAGATCCAAAGGATGTGTGAGTAACTCAGAGACAGAGGGTTCTATCTGGGTTCTTGTTCCAACTCCAATCCTAAAACTAGAGTAACATCTGAGCTGCAGAACCTTCTAGATGAGGGCAGACATCTCTAAGATCCTTCAGGAGACTGTCACCGATGTCTACAGTTAGTCACAGCCAGCACTCCACAAACCAAGTAGTTAGAGGAAGGAAGGATGTGAGTGACCTAGCCAGGGCTCTCCTCCCAACTCCTTGTGTGGGACTTCCTCTAAGCCTAGGCCCACCATCCCCAGACCGAAATCCATCCCAAATTTCAGATCTTGTTTGAGACTCTCCCTGCAATCCAGACTTGGTCCTATGGGTCCCTCTGCCCATAGTTAAGGAACCCACCCTGTCTTTGGGCATGTTGGGCAGGTACAGTGCCCAAGTGTCTAGAAGAGTCTTGTGCTTATAGAGGTGGATAACAGGGAAGGTAGGGAGGCCAGAGCTGCTGAGATCAGTCAAGACTCCTGGGTCCTCCTCCAAGTTCCTTAACACCAGGACTCCTCTACCCCACAATGCTGAAATTTGAACCCACTGCCTTGTGTATGCTAAATCAATGCTCTACCACTGAACTATAGCCCCAGCCCCAATACCAAGGTTGGTAAGGCTGGGTAATCACCCTATGTCATATGTCCAATAGCAATAAGAGACAATGAGGGCTAAGGCAGAGGATGGGGCACTGTGGGAAGGGAAGTTCCTACACCTCCGGGGTGTTTTCCACAGCATTGGGAGAAGGGGAATGTGGCTGCCTCAAATCCTCTTTCTCCAACCCAGGCCCTTTTCTTCTTTTTTTTTATTTGATTCACAGAAAAGAAAGGATGATCAAAATGAATGGAAGTAAACCAAACAGGCCATGACAAAGTAAACAAGTGAGATACATCACCAGGAAAATGGGGGGAAAAGGTGACGAGACAACGGCAGGAGTTCAAACATCTTTTGATGTCAGAAACCAAGGTGAGATGAGGACAGACAGCCCAACGGGAAAGGTGGGGAGAGCACAGACAAGGACCGGCACCCACCCCCACCCGGCACCCCATCCAGATAAAGAGATGGCAGAGGAAGAGGGTAGGAAAGGAAGGAAGGAGGTGGGAAAAGTGCAGGAATGGGAAGGGAGGGGGCAGAACAAAAAAATCCAGGTGCAGGTTGGGGCGATCCAATCCAAACTAAAACCAAAACTTCAAACCATACCTTCGCTGTTTAACGTCAGGTGAGCCGGACCTTGGGGAAGGAGAGAAAGAAAGAAAGAAAAAAAAGAAGAAAGAAAAGAGGAAAGAAAGAAAGAAAACACGAGTCATCAAAATCAGCCAGAGAGGAAGGAGAAAAAAGCCTTTGCTGCCACAATTTAAAAGCCCTTTTAACTTGTGACAGACATCGGGGGGAGCCCCCAGCCCAGGAGCTGAGGGAAGGGGCCCGATGCGGAGACAGAGGGCAGGGGGAGGAAACGGGGAGAGAAAGAGATCAGGGGGCATTAGAGGGGTGTGAGGGGTGAACCAGAGGGGAGCGGGCTGGGGAGTCACTGCAGGGGAGAGAATTTTGGTTTCTTTTTTCTTCTTGCCGGTTTAAAAAAAAGGGAAAGGAGAAGCGGAGGCGGAGGCCGCTTTTCCTTTTTCTTTTTTTCTTTCTTTTTTTTTTTTTTTTTTTTTTTTTTTTCTTCCAGGAGGTGGAGAGAAAAAAGAAAAAAAAAAAACGGTCAACGAGAAAAAACAATTCGGATGGAGGAGAAAATAAAACACGACACAAAAATCAAAGCCACCTGGAGAGAAAGAGTCCTGTTAGCAGGGATCGGGTGGGCGGAGCCTCCGACCTCCCTCACACCCCCGCTCCCACAGTTCCCGTGACCCTGGGAGAAGGAGGAAAAGTGGGAAATCGAGGAACCTGGAACTAAAAGAAAACCATCCCTGGGGTTTAGAAAGACATCTCTCTGTCCCTAGTCCTCCCCGCTGCCTATCCCAGCTAAGTCCGGATACAGAGCAGGAGCCAAGAGAAACCTGGGGATCTGGGGACCTAGGAAGCTGGATAAAGGAAATTGAGTCTAGAGAAATCCTGGAGCAAAAGATGGGTGGTGTGAGTCTTTCACAAGGAGGTCTGGAGTCTAGGAACTGTGTTCTCTTGGACAACAAAATCAAAGGGGACAGCCAAGACCTCCAGGCAGGTGGCTAAACTCCCTGAGAGACCCAAGCATCTCATGCCTAAATAATCCCATAGTTGCCCTTTCCCTGGCCAGGTCCTAGATAAGCAGATCCCAAAGCAGACTGAGGACAACTCTGCCTGGTGGGTGAGCCCTGGGAGTCCTAACCTGAGGTACCCCCTCCTTAGCCTGAGTCAGTCTAGGCCCAAAGGGATCAGGAGCCCAGTCCCCAGAGAAGCTAACAGCCCCAGGCCAACAGCAGAACTAAGTCTCCAAGGTTCCCTGAAGAACCCATCAAACCCCAGATGCCTCTCCATCCAACCCCAAGCCTGCCTCCCTTCAGTGGGGTCTGGCAAGAAGGGAAGAGAAGGAACAGCTTTGCTGTGTCACTGTCACCCTGGGAAAACATCCCAGATGATGTGGCAAGGCGATGTGGGCTCTTGGGATGGAAAACTGGAGCCAGTATAGACTTATAGAGGCTAAAAAGCTGTAAGCATCACAGAGGGGGTCTGGGCAGTGAAAATAAGGGTGCCCAGGGCACGGGAGGCAGTGAGGAGGCTGTTGAGGATGGCAACGGTTACCTCAAGGCAAAAGCTTGGACCCTGGGAAAGACATGGCCAAATGGCTCCTGGTGCCTCTCTCTCCATTTCCCAGGGTTGCATTCATTTATTTTCCACCTCTAGATCTGAGGGCAGCTGGGGTGGGGGTGGGGGGGCATGGAGAGGCGGCCACAGCTGCTGCCGGGTGCAACCTCAGGACAGAATAGTTCTCGGACAAAGATTTGCCCAAAACATGTGCGGGAGCCCTAGCATTTGGGGGTGTCATAGTCCTTGCTCCCAATGGCCTCTACCCTGCCACTGACTCTTTCCTCAAGAAATGCTAGCACCCTCTTCCAAAACTCAGTGCCCAAGCCCAAACTTCCACTCAGCAGCACCCTGGTCCTGAGAGACTACTCCTAGAAATGCAGGCCTCTGCTACACTCAGTCCAGGAGCCAGAGGCCCCCTGGACCCATCTTCTTCTGGTCCTCTGCCCCCACCACCACCATCACCTACAACCTCCTTGGCCTGACTACTTGCTGGGAGAAAGGCAGGTCTCCCCTCAAGACCCTTCCTTTGCCCAGCTCCCCACCAGCTTCATTAGCATGCGGCTCTCTCCCTCTGTCACCAAGGCAACCAGCTGCTCAGCTCCCTCAGGCGTGACAGCACCAGCCATCTTGGTGAGGGGAGGCCAGTTCCCTTCCTGTCTACCCCTGGCTCAGCCCCAGCTGGCTAAGGGATCCCTCCCTAAAGCTGGGCTCTTCTCTCCCCCAACTCTGCAGTTTGCTCTGGTCCTGGCCCTAGTCCCAGTGGGGTTCTCTCTCACACGCATCCACCTGTGGCTTCTGTCCCTCCTCCCACTGCTGAGGAAGAGGCTGGCAGTGATGGATGGCCCTGCCAAGGGTCCTTCCTAGGGCGCTCTATTTGCCCCTGTCTGGGTCTCCTCTCCTTGCTTGCAAGAGGCTAGGATGAGAGGAGAGGTGTTCGGGGGCCTTCCGAGCAAGATGCCTGGGTTCCCGAGGAAGCTAGGCCTTAGGCCCAGCATCCCAAAATGGAGGGATGGAGAAGGGGAGGCATAGAGAACCCCTGGGGATGTGAAGGGGAGCACAATGCCAGGAAGGAGGCCCACCTTCAGCTGAATCATTCCCTTTCAGCCTCACCCTTGACTCTTCTGCCCAGAACCCAGAGATGACAGCCACAGAAAACAGAGACAGAAAGACTAGGAACGCAGACGCACACAGGGACACACAAAGGAGGATGCACACATGCATGCACTCGTGCACACACACACGCACATACACACACACACAGTCTCCCACCACACACTGCACTGCCACTGATATTCAGACCCACATCTAAACCACTGGCCACAAGGCCACCCTAGATCTCATTCCCATGTCCCCACAGCCCCAGCTTCTTCTTGTCTTTGTTAACACCCCCTTCCCACCCCCAGGCCACATCTCTGCAGCCCTTCCACCCTCTGTCACAGAGACCCTGCCCTTCATGTTCCTCTCCTTTCTGGCCTCTCTCCCTTGAGTTCTTTCTTTATTTATTTATTTTTATCTTATGTGTATGAATGTTTTGCCAGCATGCACACATGTACACCATGTGCATGCAGTGCCCGAGAAGGCCAGAAGAGGGTGTCAGATCCCCTAGGACTGGAGTTACAGACAGTTGTGAGCCGCTATGTGGGTGCTGGGAGTCAAACCCCAGTCCTCTGCAAGAGCAGCCAGTGCTCTTACCCTTGAGCCCTCTGTCCAGCCCCACTACTCCTGAATTCTTTGTCCCACCTTTTCACTTACCCTCTCCCTGTCTCTCTGTTCTCTCCTTCCTCCTCCCAAGCCTCTCCTCTCCCCCTTTCTTTTTCTTCCTCCCTCTATCTTTCCCTTTGTTCCAAAGGAGACATGACATCAAGAGCAAGTAAAAGTCTCACCAGCACTAAACCTTATCTCTACCCCTCAGAAGGCTGCATCCACCCAGACGTTCAGCTCTCTCTCTTTCTCTCTCGCTCTCGCTCTTGCTCTCTTGCTCTCTTTCACAAACACATACAGAGTTAAACACTGACACACAGAGATGCAAACATAGATGCAGACACACAAAGCCCTGGCCGCTCCTCCAGAGGCACACAGACACAGGACCACGCCACAAAAGATACAGCAAGTACATGTGGGTAGCACCCCCTCACAGACCAGAAACAGAGCTACATGACACAGGCACTCAGAGACATAGCACCAGCAGAGCCATGTGAATATGTGCACACACAGGCACAGATATAGACACACACACACACACACACACACACACACACACACACACATACACACACCTGTTGGGACCAGGATACCTGAGGAGCCCCAAGAGAGGACATATACAGAGACAAGACAAAGCATGGACATCACAAGGAAAATGGGCTCTACCATTCCCGGGCCTAGAGTCCTCACTGCGAGTTCTTCCCAGGACTCCCCCATCCTTGGCATCTCTTCTGTCCCTCCAGGCCCAGGGGTCTCAGAGTATGCCCCAACCCCTGCCTTCCCAGGATGGGAGACTGTGGGGCAGAGTGCTGACTGGGAGATGGCTTCGTCTTGTGGCCACTTTGCCACCTTCCCTAGGATGACTTATAAGTTCACCTGCAGCCCAGCCTCCAAGTACGGCCCACCCTCTCCTCGACCCCAGAGAAGGAAAAGAAACAGGGAAAAGCACAGCTAGAGGGAAACAGCAGAACCCAGAGAGTCCGGGGAAGGACAGGCACAGAGAGAGGTCCACGGACAGCATTCTGGAAAAAGAGAGGTGACGACAAAAACCAGAGAGAGAAAGGCAGCCAGCAGAGAAGGCGGGAAGGATGGACAGACCCAGAGAGTCCTGCTCCCAACCTTGCTCTGGGCTAAAGGAAAAACTGCTCTCTGCCCTCCCAGCTATGGGCAGCTTTGGCAGAGTAGAGGAGCTGGCCTTGCCACACACCCCTACCAGAAGACAGACCCCTCCCAAACTGTCTGTACTCTCACCCACACTCCCACGGACCTGAGCCCCACAGCAGAGGTGTGGATTCTCCCCAGTGCAGACTCCAGGCTGGCAGTCCATCCTGCACCTCCAGTCCTTCCTACGCATGGCTGGCTAGTCTACGCTTCCTAAAGTGGGCTGGGCAAAGCTCACTTCTGGGCACTTCCAACGCTGTCAGCTGTGTCCCTCCACCCCATGCTTCCCATCTCTTCCCAGAGGTCCCCTTTCCTTCCCCACTAGGAAGAAGAAAGGCCAGGGGTGCAGAATAGAACAGTGTGGGCAAGGAAAGGGGCCTGTCCTCTGCCTGGCAGCTCCCGCCCCCAATGAACAAAGAGTCTCACAGGAGGTAAGCTCCCAGGCAGCCCAACAGAGAAGACCCCAGACATCCTTTCCCTGGGGGACCCCCCAAACATGGACAGAAAGGGAGCTGTTGCATGTCCAATGACACCCCCTCACACAAGAACCCCCCCCCTGGGGATATGCATGTTACCCCAGTGACTGAGAGGTCCACTCACCTTCCATGGGGTGTTCCTCTATAGTCAGCGGGTTCAGAGAAGGGGAGCAGAGAGAAAGAGAAGAAAGGAGGGCTGTTAGCAAGCATACCAGAGATGGGTGCTTAAGGGGACTGAGGAGTTCCAGGCTCCACGATCCACCCAGGCCCTGACAAGAATAACCCAACCTAGAAGCCCCACTCTCAGGGAGCACAGCCTCACTGAGGACCTGACAGTGACACTGCTGTTCCTTCAATCAGTACCTCCCAGAGTCAGCCAGTCCAGGAGGGCTGGGAGGGTCTGCCCTAGGCATCCCTGCAGACCCTCCTGTTACATTCCAGGAGCAGCCCAGAGCAGGCATGTGACAGTTCAAGACTACACAGAGACCAGAGAACAGAGGCAGAGCAAGCTAGGGAGCAGACAGGTCTCCCAAACCCTGAGGCAGTTTCCTCCCTTGCATTCACTCCGCTCGGAGACAGATGGGGACATGCTCACACCAGAAACTGTCTCACTGGGCTTGCCGAGACACACTCTCAGTGACACACTGACACACATAGGCACTGAGTGATCTCCACCGTCACATTCAGCTCTCGAGCAACACACACCTGAAGCATTTGCACAGGAGGATCTGACCACCCCACAGTTCCCTACCCTCCCAGGAAAGAAGCATCTGCACAGTCAGAACACAGTTCTGTGGTATGGGCCAGGCCCTGAGTCTGATCCAAACTGCCCTATGATGTGCATCCTAGTCACTCAACTCCTCTGAACCCTGACTGTAAAGATGACAGGATGGACTAGACCCTTCTTTTCCTAAACCTCTCCCAGCTCTGGTTCTGCTTCTGTAAGAGAAATGCCTTCAGTTTTTGTTTGTTTGTTTGCTAATTTTTCTTTTTTGGTCTTTTTGAGACAGGGTCTCCCTGTAGCCCCAGCTGTCCTGGATTCACCATGGAGACCAGGCTGGCCTCGAACTCACAGAGATCTGCCTGCTTCTGCCTCCGGAATGCTGGGATTAAAGGCGTACGCCACCACGCCCGGCTTGTTTGCTAATTTTTTTAATGATTTTTAAATTATTTAATGTGTATGAATGTTCTACCTGCATGTGTCTAAGTGCACCTGTGTTATGCAGTGCCTGTGGAGGCAGGAAGAGGGCATCAGATCCCCTGGAACTGGAGTTTCAGACAGTTGTTCACCACCACATGGGTGCTGGGAACCAGACCCGGTAATCTGCAAGAGCAGCCAGTGCTCTTAACCACTGAGCCATTTCTCTACCCTCTGGTTTGTTTTGTTTTGTTTTGCACTTTTTGAGGCAGGGTCACCCTACAGCCACAGCTGGCCTGGAACTTGTTATAGAGATCAGGTTGGCCTCCTCACAGAACCACCCATCTCTGCCTTCCAAGTGTGGGGATTAAAGGCATGTGCCACCACGCCCAGCTCCCTGTTTGTTTTTGAGACAGGGTTCCAGTCTTACTTTGTAGTTCAAACTGGCCTGGAACTTGCTATGTAGTCCAGACTTCTAACTCAAGGCCATCTTCCTGCCTCCTGAGTGCTAGGATTACAGGCATGCACCACCTTGCACAGTTTTATGCAGTGCTGGGATCAAACCCAAAGCTTCATACATGCTAGGCAAGCACTCTACCAACTGAGCTGCATTCCCGGTATCAAAATGCCTTGTTTGTTTGTTTGTTTGTTTGTTGTTTGTTTGTGACAGAGTCTCAGGCAGGTCACACTAGTCTCAAATTCATTCTGTAGCCAAGGATGGCTCTAAATTCCTGATCCTTCTGCCTCCAACTCCCAAGTGAACCCAAATGCCTTCTTAACAGCTGGGTGATGCAAAGGGCCTCCAGCTGAATGGCCACTTTAAATTCAATCAAATTCAGTAGGCCATGCAGGACACCCCCTAGGTCATACCACACCCCATAGGCCATCAGCCTCACCTAGACCTGGTCTTGGGGCACGCCTAATGGGTAAAGAGAGAAGGTGGAAGGGGTGGAGGATGGGAGCCCTTCCTTCAACTAAGCTACAGCTCCTCAAGCAGGCTGTGCTCTGGTCTGCTTTGTCAGAGGACCATGGAGCTCCCGGCTCCAAACATTTGTCACACATCACATATCCACCTACTGGGAACCTGATAGATGAAGCCAAAAGCTGAAGAAATATAAATACACAAACCCATGGGGGAAAGACATACACATGCCTGCAAACCCCAGGATAGACACAAATTCACACATGCACACACATAGTCTCCTCCTGTCTCTGAGCCTATTTTGTGTGATTTGTTCACGCACTCTTGGGAGAAGGGGGGCACTATACTGCAATAACAAACAGTTATTTATCAAATCTTATACATCTCTATAATACACATGCACTGACTGAACGCAAACACCAAGAGATATTAGATGCCACCACCCGCCACCCCCACCCCCACACCCAATCCCTTTGGTGGATAAAAACACACTCCACAATGAACACAGATGATTTTATATCTATCCACTCTCTTCATACACCCACATCCACCAGCCTCCATATCACAAACACACTCCACACAACAGAGAGACTTGTGCCTCTCTGCACTCCCAAAGCTGAATATTCAATGATTTTCCTAAATATACTGAGTTTCATCACAGTTATAGGGGAGCTGACCAGTTAAAGGGACCTTCTGGGAGACCCCTGGGCTCCTGAAGGACTACTGTGTCAGAACTCTTTGGTCCCAGCATGCTAAGGCCCTGGTCAGTCAGCACACCCAAGTCACTAGCATCAGTGCAAATAAGTCATGTTTCTTTCAAGATAATTCCACATGGCAGATATCTCAAAAAGCATTTCCACCAGCACCATGCCATGCTCCAGAAGGCAAAGCCAGCAAGCTCAGTTTGCTCCCAGCTCCTGAGAAACTGCACTGAAGATCTACACACCTTTCCCCCTCTGGTGCTCTGTGGTCTCTGCAGGTTCACCTGCACCCCTTGCACACCATCCCAGGCCCTGCCAGGTCTACCTCCTTACCCTCACCTGCCTCTTTTTCTCCCTGCCCACCTTGAGGGCTTAGGAACTCCCTAAGCCCTGGCCTCTGCCCTGAGTAACAGTCCTATATCCCCACCTGGCTGCTTGGCTGCCCCACAACTGCATGAACAGCTTGGTGCTATCTTAACTCCAGCTGAGCCCGTGCCCAGCATCTCTCCTCAGAAACCAAGCACCCCTCCTCCTCTGCATATAGCAAAGGCATTGCTTCCCAACCAAACATTTTTATTTTTACTTTTTGAGAAAGAGTCTCCCTGTAGCCCCAGCTGGCCTGGAATTCACTGTGTAGACCAGGCTGGCCTCAATCTCATAGAGATGGACCTGCCTCTGGCTCCAACCAACACTTCTTGATCTCCTAAAAGTGCCCCAGGCTCCCAAGATGTCACCTAACCCAAAGCCAGGCTCCCTCCCAACCCTCATGTACAGCATGGGCCCCAGGCCATTCCCCACCACCACCTCTCTGCCCTCACCCCTCAGCACAAGTTCCTGAAACAGCTTCCTCCCAACTGTCCCTTGCCCATCCCTGTACACCTCACTCAGCATGGGGACCAGACACACCTTGCTAAACCCCTCCGTGATTCGCACACACTCAGAACATCTCAGCAGCTGTGGCTAAACCTCTCTAAATGTATCCCCCAGCCATCCGAACAGCTATCTCTTAGGGTCTCCCAGGCTGCTTGCCCTCAACCTTTCCAAGGTGGCTTCAGAAATCTTTCTCCCGGGGCTGGAAACATGGCTCAGTGATTAAGAGCATTGGCTGCTCTTGCAGAGGACCTAGTTTCAATTTCCAGCACCCACTTGGTGGCTAACCACCATCTGTAACTCTAGTTCCAGAGTAATTCAATGCTCTGCCCTCTTCTGGCCTCCTCAGGCATTTCATGACATGGGTGCACTTACATACATGCAGGTGATATATTCATACACATAAAAGAAAAAAGGAAAAAAAAAAGAAATCAGGACTGGAGATATGGCTTAATGGTTAAGAGCACTGGCTGCTCTAGCAGGGGACCTGGGATGAGTTCCCAACACCCACATGACAGCTAACAACTGTCCTAGTTCCAGTTCCAGAGACGCTGACGCCCTCTTCTGATCTCCATGGGCATTTCACTACACAGGTACATTTATATGCATGCAAGCAATACACTCATACACATAAAATAAAAAATAAATTATTTTTTCAAATCTTTCTCTTGGGCCTGGAGAGATGGTTCAGCTGTTTAGAGCACTGACTGCTCAGCTGTTTAGAGCACTGACTGCTCTTGCAGAGGACCTGGGTTCAATTCCCAGCACCCACATGGCAGCTACAAATCGTCCTTAACTACAGTTCCAGGGCAATCCGAAGCCCTCTTCTGACCTCCGTGGCATTGCATGACACAAGTGCACTCACATAAATGCAGGCATTATACTCATACACATAAAAAAATAAAAAACAAAAATTAAAAAAAATGTTTAAATCTTTCTCTCAAACCCTCTCCTCCTACCTGTATGTCTTGATTGAACCAGACACCCAGAAAGCAATCCTCTTTTTTTCCCACTCCAGTCACCTCAGAACCTTGGGGTTCCACCTTCTAAAACCTTCTACCCTCACCAGGCAACCCAGGCCAGGCCTCCCCTCTGTTCTCCGGTGAGCTAAATAAGCCTCCGAGATGATTCTCTTTCAAGTCTTTTCACCCTGCAGTTTATGAGCATGGGCCACCTAAGTGGTCTGACCACATCACAAGCCTACTTCAAGTGGACCATGGCTGGCCTTCACCAGGAGAGACTCAGCCACCTCAGGAAAGCCCCTTCAAGTCTAACCACACCTCCTCCGCACACACCCAGCCTCTTCCCATTCACCTAACAGGCCATTTCTGCACAATCTATTCCCTGGGCTTCAAACACTGCCCCCAACACACACTCACACACACACATGCATGCACACAGCTGTCTGACAAAGTTGATGTGACCCACGTCAACACATATCTGTGTATTCTAAACACAGGAGAGCAGTCAGCCACCCTCTTTGGGGCACTGTCTTAATGGACATATATTCG